CCACGTTACCTACGAATACCGCGGTCGATATTCGTGAAATTTGGGATATTGTTACCCTGTCTGCATTTCTTATCATTTAACATTTTACATTTTACACTCTGATCAATGCAGGCACGAGCAGATCTAAAGTACCTACCAGAGAGCAGGGGATTTGACAACGCATACCATAGTCCGAGTGTTCCGTAGATCTATTCAGCCTTCACCACTTCGGTTCGGCTTTTATCCGTTTTAGATCCCCGCCCGGAGTGGAGTTCCGCTTGATTTCTCTTTGAGTCTCGCACGGATAATTTAATTTTTTGTATTTTTTCCTCTCCCTCTAATCCCTCCCATCCCTCAATTAACTCTCCACACCTACACATCCCTCACTCACTCACCCCACCCCACCTCCCCTCTCAACCAACAATGTCCCACCGTCTCCCCCACCACCTCCCCTTCCTCCTCCACACACTAATCGAAATCCCCGCCTCCCTCAACTTCCTCCTAAACCCCTCCTCACAACTCTCTTCCCCAGCACCACAAGCCCACACCCTAATCCAACAATACGCCATTCTCCTCTTTGTCTCCTGTCTCATCGCCCTCATCTTTGCATGGCGACCGGTGGATCGCACTGCTCGCCTTGTCGCGGGTGCTTTGTCGTTGTATCATTGGGCTCCGGCTTTTAGAGCTGCGTGTAGGATTTTGGAGGGGGATGGGGTGGGGAAGGGGGTAAAGGGTTTGGGGGGTCCCGGGGTGCATTTGTTGGTGCATTTACTTTGTGGTGCGGGGTTGTTGGGGCTTTTTTTGTCGGGGGGGAGGAAGAGACGAGTGGGATAATTGGGTTTACTTTGATTATTTGGCTGGATTCGAGGCAGGATTCGTTGTTATGTTCATTCATGTGAATCGTTGAATGCAAGTGAAAATATCTATATCGGAGGCTGTAGAGGTGAAAGGAAATGGCTTTGAGATATTGGAGTACAAGAAGTTTATTAATCAATGAATTTCTGTTTTTCCAAGCTGATCTTCAAGGTCATTTATATAATTTACTCAATACCATACAACCAACAAGAACAAACCCAAATTACTATACAACGACTCGAAACCACAGTCCCCAGGAAAGATCCATCATCGCCAACTGCTTTACTACTTTACTCACAGCCATCAAATATTTTTAACTCTCATTTTTTCTATCGAAACCCATAATCCCATAATTGTATACCTCCTTACCTACCGTCAGTTCAATTTCAGCGGCCATTTAGAATCCAGCATTACTCGAGTAGTTGCATAAACGATTTTTTTTTCCCTTATGAACTAAGGTTAAACATATACTCTAATATTGCTGTCTAGATGTTTAATAAAACAACTTGCTAGTAAGATTCTAGCTCTTCAGATAGGCAGATCCTAGGAGATCATAGTCTACGGTACTGATAATCTTTTGTTATGGAATTAGCGGGTAATAGTGTAATATTGTAAGATTACAATTTGTACTTTTATAGAGTGTTATGTTTATAGTGATTGGGGTTAGTAAGGGTTAGTTTCCGAAGAAAAGGATAAAACAAACACTACTGGAGATAGTCACGCTAGATAAGAATAGATTACTAGCCTAGACAATATATTAAAAGAATAAATTCAGGATCAGGGTCAAAAATAGCCGAAATGCACCGCACCGCCAATTCTACTTACGGGTAACCTAACTTCTCTCAAAAATTTTTTAACTAATATTGGAATCATCCTATTCAGTCAGTCATTAAAGAACTTATAACCAACCCAATACAACTAGAAGAAAAGGAATCTACGCCTCAAGTTTCCGTATCCCGCGGCCGATAGCCCAGCTTTTTTCCTCAAATCTCTTAGGTATATTATTTATAGCACCCTGTTAAAGTTATTATACCTAGTTTGCTCGCAAGTTATTACGTGCTACCGTTATATCAACCGCTTCTACATCAGAGTATATTATAATATAGGAGACTCTTGGAACACAATTGAGCGATATTTGGAGCACCATAAGATCTCAGATAAATGAAAATTACAAGTGATTTGGCTGAAATGGAGAATAAGATTCTCTCAGTGTCCTTTACAAAGTTTGTATATAATGGGATGACACAAAATTTGTATCAGATATGGTGTTATGCACTTTACCTTGGATAGGATACATTTCTAGATTGCAAAACAGTTAAGATTATTGGCAATGTGACTCCAGAGTTGAAAAGGGATGTGGAATAGAATTCAACTATAGGGCCAGTCGTGGATACTGGATAGAGGTTTCTTCGAGGGACAACGTGCTTCGGTGTCAATTGATAGAGGTTCTTGTGAGTTCCACCCTGTTCCACTTTGCAAATATATATAGCCTACTGAATCCAATCGAGATATAGGGAAAAGTCCATGTGAATAGCATAAATCGATAGCTAGCTAGCCGAGAGACCTCGCGGATAAACAAGTTTGCAGTTTCGAAACCGCCAAATAGTTTATTTGTCGTATCCGAAGTTTTATAATTCATCCAATTCTCAAACTTCATTTTATAAAAAGTTCTTTGAAATTGCATCATATATTCTTCCTTCAGAGGGAATCTTGAATGCAACCACTATATGGCATTGGGATGTTTATCCTGTAAGTACATAGAATGGTGATATTTTACATCTCCGACAATATCTTCGAAGTGAACGTTCAATGATGCATTTCCCGTTTCATGCGTTTGGAACACTAATATACAGACATAGATACTCGAACAAGCTTGAATTGGGATGAGTGAATTTTGAAGCGCAGACGGGATGGGCGGGAAGCAAGTGCGAAACCATTTTAGTTGATAGATTAGATCATATCTGGTGCTTTAGAAATGAAAGCCCGGAAATCTTTATATATTGTTCAAAACCAATATACAACAACAGAAATATCCGAGAAACCTCGATACACATGTAAAAGCTGCAAGTCAAAACGGATAATAGTGGGAACTCATATATATTCCTGACAGATAATACACGAAGCTGGATACCGATATCGTCCCAATGCGATATATGAAACTAAACCCATATGTGTGGACTGTTTGAGACGTAACACAAAATGAGAATATGTGAATGTTCATTTCTACCTCCTATATACTCCATTCTTGGGTACTTTGCGCGAAGAAATTGTCACTTCACTTCCCACCACAACGATGATCACGTGGTAGACACTCGTTTCTCGCGCCCCCCTTTTACCGAGCGCAACCTCCTCGCTTCCCTCAAACGTTGACTAATGGTTGAAATTTTGTCTTTTTCGAACATTCCGTTAATGACAATGAAATTTTTCAAAACTTCGTAGTACTGGTTTGCAATTTATTATCATGGATTGTTTAGCTCACTCAAACTTGTCGTCATCGTTCGGTAGTGGATGCTCTGTTATGTGTTTTTGAATTACATTTCTGGAATATGGAGTTCGTTTTCATCACCCTCTGTTCTTTTCCTCACCAGTGCTATTCCGGAAAGTAAGTTAGAGAGAGGGACGTGATAGGAGATAGCTATTAGTATCTGGGACGAGCTGTTATTCTGTATAAGTAATTGGAGATGGAGGAGAGTGTCACGCTTCTGCATGTACAAAGGCATCAGTCCATACTCTGGCATACAGAAATCGCTAATAATGACCTCTGCACCTGACTTGAGCCCTGGTATCAAAAACCTCAGAACATTCATTTCATACATATCAGACCAATCGTGGAAAACCCAACGAAAGTCATAAACTTCTGCGCCTTTGATCGGCTGATCTTTGACTAAATCGTGTTCCATGAAGGAAACCCGGCCTTGAAAATTCAAAGTTAAATGAGGTGCTACTTCCAAGTTCGTGGCCGGTAAATCTTGCAAAATGCAACGCATGCTAGGGTAAGGCCGAGCAATGGAAATACTGACGGCCTCATGTGACAACGAGGACATCTTTTGGAAGCGAGAGGAAGTCAAATGCTTCCAGAAGATGATGCGCTTCCAGACCTGGAGGTTCCTGGAAGAATCTTATCGCATCCGAGAATTATTTCGCGGCTGCTAGGCTATCTGTTAGATGTGTGAAGCCTGAAGGGAGTAAGATATTTCGGGTGCGTGAGAACATATGCCTGTTTCTATGAGTAACTATGCAATCAAAAGAGAAGTCAGATTTCAGGGACCGTCTCGTCCGGTTCTTCAGATCTTGGCCACCGTTTTCCCGCTTCGAGAATGCGCGGTAGCGTCGGCCATACATTTTCGAAACTATGTCCGAGCCATGCCGCGGCGTATAAGTTCTCTAGAAGTACTTTCGAGGCGGCAATATGTGCTACGAAACATTCACGGGGCTCTATAAAGACATGATATGTCATGGTGAGACGTGAGAAAGGCGTTATATCCGCTTATATCATCTGTCTTAGATCGAGCAGCTGTATACGGCCTCAATAGTGACAGTTCAATAACAACAGACTGAGTGTAGTATAACATTTGTCAACGATCAAAGAGAACCAAGCTTCACCCTCATACAATCACAAAATATTTCCATGTCAAAAGTTTCGAATACAATGGATATGCCAACATCTGAAGGATTTCGCGAGCAGGAGCCTCTTACGGGATTGTATCTTGAAGAATTCATTGCAGCATTCTATTACTCTACTTTTTTTGTGCCACTTTTTCAGTTGCTATGTACAGTGACCGGCAAAGCAACCCGGCTGTCCCCAATCTGGCAAGTATCTAGCTGTACACTAACCAAGCAAATCTGAAATATATCCACATGGCATGAACTCCTACACAACATTAGTCTCCAAGCCAGGGCCACAGATGCCAAAGATCACAATATTTCGTCATCTGTTTCTCTTCCTGAAGGGGCCGGTCAATCGTGCGAACGGAGGCTGTGTGGTATGTTCTGTTTTCCTTTTGCTGAACTTTGTTTCCACTATTAATTGGCAACAGTTGCTCCGCCAGTGGTCGTATCGTGATGTATACTTTGTTTTCGCGACGAAATGATGACGCTCAAAATGGCAAGACATATAGGTGAGGCGAAATATTCTTCTAAATCTCAACTTTTACTAACTTGCTTTGAATTAGATCACTGTCTTGAAATGCTTCGATAGGTGCTCATGTGTCGGCAGAAATATCACTGACAACGTTCATCTGGTCAATTCTCAGGACAAACCGATTCTAAATATTGATCCCTTTGAACGTGAGTGTGTTGATTGGAAGCTCTTGCTGATCCGGTCAAGAATAGGCTTGTCTCTCTGGAAGAAGTTAAGGCGTTGAAAAGTCCGTTTAATGCTTGTATGACGATAATCAAGCAAGCCGAAGAAGATGCGCATATTATTTTGCATTTGGGCAGCTCCGAATAAATGTGCTTATTTGGTTTGATATATAAGATGTACTTAGCAGCTTTTGCTTTTTAAGAGGGATTGAGAGCTTTCGTGGAGCTTCATTATTTGGAGCATCTTTGAAATTATCAAAAGAGGAGCATTGAGTTTTTTTCGTGAACATGGTTCTCGGTGCTTGTCACTTACGTGGTAGTTGAAAGGATGATGGGTGATGACCTTCAGATAGTCATCCAAATTACTTGGCAAATTTTGATGCCTGGGGTAAAACTGATCGCTCTGCGCCAGCTCCGCAATCGATGAGGTAATATCAAGATCAAAGATTGAGAGTTATCTCCATGTAACGGAGAGATTTGATCTGGGCGATTATCAGTCTCGCAAGTTAACCAATTCCTTACTCATGATCAAACATATGTCAAAGTATTCCATATACATGCAATTGCATGTAATCAGCATTGATAATGCAACTTATTGGTAGTACAACAGCATATGTTGGTAATGCAACCTGTTGATAATGCAGCTACATATATTGATAATGCAATGGAACTGATATGCATGCGGCACCAACCACACAATACCTAGGTAATGAATCTTCGGACGTCCGGTAGGAGTGGCGCTATACCTTGCAGATTGCTATAATATCAGAAACTGGTATTTCCATATATGAGCTTACATATAGACCTGATATCTGGTGGAACAGATATTATGAAGTGTAATTTAACCAACGGCTTGAAACCATGGAGGCGGTCTTGCCTTACAGACGCATGTTACTGTAGTACCTCCAATTAATAGTTTTTCAACCACTGCCCCACCACACTTCATGCATCCTTGGGGTGGTTCATGTAAGATCATGAATGTACGACATGAAGATTTTTTGGAGATGGCTGTTGCTGAATTAGTGAGGGGTTGGACTCGAAGTCTTTAGATATACCCATGGAGTAGAATCAAGCCGTTTCTTATATTTCGCGAACAACAAAAATGACATTTGGTAATTTCAGACCATCATCTCTACATGCGGAAGATAGCACCGCTTTCCAAAGAATGGGCCCAATGGGCAATATAATCCACACTATTGGGTCCTGCCAACTTTCGAGCGATTTGGAAAACAAATTTTGGTGATTGGTGCGTGGAAATTCTTCGAGTGAAAGCTCTTGGCCAATTTTACGGAAGCGGGGTGGATATACGCCATGGCTAGTATTTGTAGGGATATGAAAGCGCTACACAGTCTGATATTCTAACAGGCTTCTGTAAAAGATGTTCGAGACCGGTTACGAGGTTTTTGTTGGAGAGTGGTACAATAAAGTCCCAGGCTTTGAAAGATACTCGGATTTGTGAGCTTCTTGGCTGGCTGGAGGAAGGTAAAATTGGATCTCGCATAATAATATTTCTGCGGGGTTCCTTGAAGTACTTACTCGTAGATAAGGATGAGAAAAGGAGATGGATGCACTTGCAAGTTCGTGCAGAAGTTTGCGGAGGGGGCAGTCTTAAGAGGGAGGGCTAGGATGATAGAACGAGCAGAGATCAGTGAAAAATATAGTACTTTGATGGAAAAGTTCATTCGAGGATTCCAGGATCCAGTTGAATTGCGAGACCTTGTTATTCAGGTGCTCATGGGATTTTCAACTAATGGACCTGGTGTCCTTATATTTGTATCAAATTAGGTAATAATTCAGAGTTCTGGAAGAACCTGTGAGATAAAAGTATGGCTATTGAAAGTTTAGAGGTAGAAATTGCAAGGAAAATGCCATTTACTAGGAATTTGCTTAATGAGGGTAAAACTTAAAACAATTTTATAATCCCTGTTTTTATTTTCAGGACTTTGTAAAACAAAAATTGAAATCATAGGCCTACGAATGTATCACATCACATCAACAGTATTCAGATACTCCATCAGAGATACCATATCCAACGAAGGAGCCTCCGAAGGACTTACGCCCATCTACATACCCAAGATAACTGTCCTATTCGTCAGTGTATGGGCTCTCCATCGTACCAAAAGAAGTGTTTGGTTTGGATGCGGAGGAGTTCAATTGCGACAGATGAATTACTATTAAGCTGAGATGATAGGAGGATTTCTAGGTCTCTATGTGCTGTGTCGGCTAGCTCAGAGGCGCAAAGTATTAGCTAGCTATCAAGGGTCTGGGGATGATGAGATGGACTGCAATGTTGTTTTCTCGAAACTCCACACAAGAGACAGAGAGATTGCATAAAGTAAATGTAAGCTACTCACTTGATGATAAGTGGACTGAAGATTCTGCAAATGCAGCTCAAAGTGCCGGTAGACCAATTAAAAACAATGAATCAGGATATATCAATGCGCCAATGCGGCACGAACCACAAACGTTATAGTACCCAGCTTCGCCAACTCAAGCCCTAGTTGCGAAATTAATACGTAGTCGGCTCCCCAGTCGGGGATAGCGAGTTTCCCATCCAAGCGAGTATTCCACTTACATTTTGATGATTTTAAATAATAAAATTAATTGAATATATAAACAGGACACACATTTTACCCGATTGGGATACTAGGCGGCCGAGTTCTAGAGAGCCGGCTATTAACTAGATTAGACTTATAATATATAATCTACTAGTAGTCTTTTCCTTTTATAAAAATGAAAATAACAATATAACAATAGAAGCTAAGCTTATTATGATCAAAGTATTCATGTTTTCATCGAAAACAAACGTTGTAATAACAATAGTTATAATACTAATTGCTTCAGGAGATACCTCTATTGAGATTAGCTGGATCCCGGAAGCTTACTGTCGTGGCCCCCGCAGTATACGACTTGGATCAACGCCGCATCCTTGCATTGAATTGGTTAGATCATGATGAACTGATTGGTGGTTGTGTGTCAGACCACATTTACGGCGAAGATACCACAGAAGCGGAATTTAGAAGATAGGTACCGGTAGGTAAATTGTAATACCTGAGACTTGATAGGACTGGTACTTGTAACCAATACGTGCAACAAAAGTCAAGGTACTAGCCAAACATCCATTTTCACCAACCTGTCTGCCTTAAACAGCTGTAGATACCCTTTTCTCCAACTTCACCTCGATGCCTGTCTGGCGCACAAACCACGAGTTCTGTATGTGCCATTCTTTCGTAGGGTCTTGAAGGCGAATCTATCACTCGTCAGAACCTTCACTGCCAAGAAATGGGAAAACACTCACATCATATGTCAAGAACAAAGTGGCTATAAGTTTGTAAATTGTCAGAGTGCTGATGTGTCTCCCAAGGCAGACACGATTGCCGGCACCAAAATTTAGATCTGTTTGTTTCATTACCGAGAGGCGAGACTGATACTCTTCTTCTGTCTCTAGGTCTTCATATCGAAGCCAGCGTTCTGGGACAAAAGAGCTTGCATCTTCACCATATACATTTTTGTTTTGGTTGGTGACATATGGATTTATGCCCACTATTGTCCCGGGAGGTAAGAAAGTCCCATCAGAAAGAGCGAGGCCGCTTGCGGGGACAATTCGTTCGAGTAAAAGACCGACTCCAGGGTGAATCCGGCTAGCTTCCTTGACGATTGCTCCTATATATGGAAGCTTGCTGGCGTCTTTGTAGCTGACTGGAGTGGACAAATTTTCTGAAATAAGCTCTCGGATGAGCTTTTTGTACACCCGAGGATTCTTGAGTGTAAAGTAGATGATTGACCGTAAAACGATCGCAGTTGTATCGGCACCGGCTAGTACGTTGATAAGAAGACAGCCCACGATTGAATTATCATTCATCAATTCCGGGTTGGTATCTTTGAGTTCGATGAAGCTGTCAAGCATATCTTTTCGATCGGTAAATTTTGCATCTGTGCCCTGTTGACGTGCCATTGATTGCTCCGCACACCACATTGCTGCTTTGTCGAAGGTTGGAGGTCCAATAGGCGTAATGGGATTCTTTCCTAACCAGTGATCTAAGGCGGGAAGTTGACCGATAACTCCAAAGTAATCCAGTGCTTGTTCCGCGACATGAATGAAACCCGAATGATCAGACGCTGTTTCCATGAAGCCCATCGGCCTACTAAAAGTCACTTGAGAGATCACATCCCATGAGAAATACAATAGCCAATCTTCCATCCTGCACACGGTTCCAGATCCGATAAAAATTCCGTCCAGTCGTTCTACGAAAGCTTTGATGGTATCATCTACACTCTGCTCCAGGCTCAATACGTTGCCCATACTGTAAAGCTTTTGTATTGGCCGGAGCATTTGAGCATGGGCTTCGTTACTTTGAGTGCTGAAGACATTTTTTATTATTGCCTTTCCGACTTTGGTGTCGTTGACAGTGTAGAAGTCGCTCTGCAAATCCGATGTGTTAGAGCTCGAGGTGATGATTGCCTGTCACGGTAACATACCTTCAAAAACTCTCCTTTGAGACTGTATATAATTGGGATGAGCTTTGGGTCATTCAGACTGACAATATTTGGTCCGATTCGCACCGCTTGGCCGTATTTTTGTTGGAGAAGTTGGTGTGTAAGTTCAGATCGACCACCATAGACGTCTACTAAACGCCAGAGATTTGTAAATTTTGCCAAAAACGGTCCCGGAACCTTTTTTAACGGAGAACTGAAATAGATCCAAAGCAAATAAGATGTACCGAAAATCAGAACCGACAAAACTATGCATGTGAATTTCACAGTAAAAGCCATAATGAAATCGATGTGTGGATTCCAAATGAATGAATCTCTTTGGTTCGAAAAGGAAAGTAGATTGCTTTTGTCAAAGCAAAGCTCGACGAATATTGGATGGGAAGGTTGTTTGGCTTTCGTTGTGGGCGTTGTTTTCAAGTCAAGTAAGTTCTCCGATGCAAGGATGCGGCATATAGCGGGGTCGATAATGCTCCATAGTAGTACGCATAGTGTAGAATTATATACTCCATTCAGTTTGTCTAACATTATGGACAGGGTTGAAAATAGAGATCAGTCATCATTATTGGAGTATCACACTGAATATTAATGCTAGCAAAACATATTACTATAGAGACATAGTACATTACTCGAGTACTTCTCTATTAATCAAAGTCTGACCTGGATTTTTCAGGAACACTGTAAATCGTCTGCTTAGTATTAGGTGTGTGCCTACAGTAGATTCATGCAGGATCTATCAAATATCATCAATGCCAGTATCAAATAGTGTAAAGTAGTCGAATTCAATCTACAGCCGAGGAAGTTGAAGGATGGTTGTACAACAACATATGCTATCGGCGACTGGGCATCAATGGTAAAAGAGGCTGCTTCTTTACCAATGATTTCCAATCGATCTAGTGGTTGGCCAACTTACCAATTTATCTCTGTATGGGGAGGGATCTCGATCGACATCCCAATTGGAGCCATTGTTGGACTCGAGTTTCAGGCAACTTAAATGCATGTCATATATGCTGTATGCTTCTCTATAAATCCCACAGGAAAGCCCCGCTTTAGATTTCAACTTAGTTGAATTTGGTCCTCTTCAATATCAAAATGACTATAGCTGGTAAAGGACCAACTATTGTGGCAGTCATGTGGACGGAGACAGCCATAGCTCTTGTCACAATTAGTCTTAGAATCTATACGCGGAAGTTCATCACTCGAAACGTGGGCCTGGATGATTATCTTATCATAATCACTTGGGTATATTAAAGTCCTGGACCGATTCTTTGTCTTAGGTACTGATAATCGACGATTAGTTCATGTTGATGCCATATACAGTGGGCTGTACAGCAGCTGCAACTCAAGGATTTGGTCAGCATTCTGAGGATCTCACCCCAGAGGAATTCTCCGATGCCACCCGATCAGAGATTATTGGACAAACGTATATCCCCACTACTTCTTTCTGACAAGACATACGAGGAATCTAACATATACTTCAGATTCTGTATTATCGGAATAGCCACTAGCAAAGCGTCGGTTTCGTTTTTTCTATTGCGACTTGCCGTCGTCAAATGGCACAAATGGGTACTTTATTTCACGATGTTTTCTGTATCAGGCATCGCCATCATATGCGCTCTATTCGATTTCATTCGATGTGACCCGATCGCTCACGTATGGAACCCCTATCTTCCGGCCAAGTGTTGGGTCTCTACTGAACAATTCACTGCTATCTCAATCACTGTCGGAGGTGAAGGACTATATTTAGCTTTCGACCCGAAAAGTTAACTAATCTCTCACAGGCACCTCCGCTGTAGCAGACTTTGTTCTTGCAGTACTGCCGTGGTTTATACTTTGGGACTTAAATATGAAGAAGAAGGAAAAGATTCTCATCACGTCGTCTATGAGTTTGGGTATCTTGTAAGTCGCCTCAATTTTTGTGGCACAAACCGTTATGCTAGATACATGCTTACATTCAAACAGTGCTATGGTCTGTGGAGTGATAAGGACAGTTAATCTCAACGGTCTCTCAGCAAGGTCGGATTATTCCTGTGAGTTAGCTCATTCATCCATTTGCCTAGTAATGCTATCACTGACACTTGAGTAGACGAAACTATAGGCTTGATATTATGGTCATCTACCGAACTAACGATTACCATTCTTACGGCAACGATACCCACATACCGACCACTTTACAAAGTCATAAAAGGTTCACTATCTAGTACTGGCGGACAGTCTGGTCGAGGTTACCGTCTTGACAACCTAGACGAAGAAAGAAGAAAGGATCTACCACATCTGGCCCAGAAAAGAGTCCCCAAGAACGACACAACTTTGATGGAGACATCAGCAAGCATTGATGAGCACAATGATTACCACAGTGAGATAGATGTACTAGAATCTGGTAAGAGACCAGTTTCGGACTCTTGAATAAGGCAGTGCTTCCTTTGTTCGCGGAAAGAGGAGGAACAGAATATGCAGGAGAATGGTGATCGGGGGAGCAAAGGTTTATGAGAAATCAGAATAATAGGAGGACTTTTACGATGGCTGAATGTCGGTTTGCGAATTTTTTCTGTTGGCTCACTTGTGCCATGTACTAACAAATGATATCACGCAATTTCACTTGAAAGGGCAGCCCCAAGTTACTATCGAGTTAGTGTGAGGCTGGAGCCTAGTAAAAGAGGAGTAAACCAAATGAAGGCTACGATGCTGCTAAGCACAACTAAAGGGACTTCTATGCCAAAGCTAAAGTTTCCGTCTTCACTCTATCCCTTTCCGAGGACCACAACATCTCTTGCTTGGGCGCAGATCCTAAAGCTGGATGCTCGTCTCCGTTTACATACCAATTGAGAGTAATGAAGAATCAATATTCGCGGCCTGCATCATGCATCATGCATTATGCATCACAATGCATGACATACTTAGAACCGAAATTAAGATACCGGTACTTGATAGGTGATTGCGAATTAGCCACTGCCGAATCCCAGGCTGAAGATACGCATAGAGAACAGAATGCGGCTATAGTTCAGTTGAATCCTTCATGCATGTCATCGGATAGAAAACTGGCGTCCCGAGACTACGCCTGAATAAATATCAGTACCTTACTGCCTATCAGATCTATTGGACGTCCTGATCCGCCAATTATTATTAGAGGCGGTTAAATAACCTCCAATCACATAGTGCAATTTGTGTAAATAGTCCTGGTAAAGACAGCCAGATTCGGCGATCCTAGAAATGACCGTATGTGGAGTCAAGGGCGATATAATGAATCTCTCGAGATCTGTTGATAATGGAAGAAAGCTCAGTACAGCAAAGACGTCGGGATGCCACACGTGATAGAAGTATAAATTTTATTGAGAAATGAAGATCTCGTGACTTGGCGACAAACTTTGCTACGGCAACAAGCGGATGTTGACCCCGCGTCGACGCGTCGTGTTTATGAACCAATCATGGTTCGCTTAGATTTCTTGCCCAGAACATCCAACCTCAAACTTGAATATCTATGGTCGATTGTGCATCTCTACAACAAACGACATGTAACGCAACCACGTTATTCATGATGCCGAATAAGCAGCGTACTTTCGAGTTGGTGGATGCGCCAAAAGTCCACCGACCAATGACCAGTAAACAAGCAAAAAAAGCATATCAAAAAGCAAATCGAACGCCACGAATATCGAAAGCCGAGCAAAAGCGACGGGATGCCGAAGAATTGGCAAAGCACAGGAAAGCATATGAAAAGGAACAAGCAGCTGCGAAAGCAAAAGCAGCAAGGGATAAGAAAGCTGCAAAGGCATTAGAGCAGAGGGAAGAGAGGAAGAGGTTGGGAATACCGGAACCTAACAGACACGTGAGAGCCAGCCAGTCGAGGATCTCTATGTTTATAAAACAGGGGAATAAGAGATCACGAGAGACAAATAACACGAGGGAAGAGTCTGAAAGCACTATATGCGAGGATTTGGATGATGAGCCGCCTGCGAAACGGCTTGCGGTGGACAATCCCGAGGATCAGAGCGAAGCCCTGTCGAAACCAATTGCGCTTCGCGACTTGGAGTACCAAATGGAGCCCCAGACGAAACGATTTGCGAATAATAGTTTTGATGATGAAGAGAACATTTCTGCAGGCCCAATTGTACCAAACGATTCCGAGGACGAGTTTGGGGACTTTCCGCCCTTGTCCGATAATGATATTTCATTATTGGACACTGGTTCAATGAAATCCACCCTGGTAAATACGATCTATTGCAGGCCTAGATCTGGAGGACCAATACCACCATTCCAAAAGCCCTCTACATCTTTGGACGATGGGCAGGAGCTACCACAAATGAAAAATGTTGAAAGGGAGCAAATGACGCCCGATGACCCATTTCAATTGGAAGATATGCTTGATTCTCAAATCCGTTCCGAAGCAGCAGATGCAGCTTGTAGGTCGGACCGAAAAAATGCCGAATTACTTCTGAAAGAGCAGTTCCATAGAGATGATACGAGACCTATGACTCCTACTTCAAATCACCCGGTGAATGATATGTCGGTGGTGCGAGAGCTTTTGTGGCATACATCTATCAATGGAAGACACGATTCATCAGACCAATCGTTCAATGTCCAACCACCACTAGCTTTACCTGAGGCTTCAGCTGCGAATGCATCGCACCGCAAGCTGAAGAATTCATATTCAAATGTATCGCTGGTCAGACGTCAATTTGATAATCCTCCCAGCAAAAATATCAACGGAGCCCCAAAAACAGGGACAGGTTCGCCCTCAAACTTCAGCGCATCAGCTAAGAGATCACCTTTTGTGAAGAAGTCAATGGACATTGGATCAGCTACGGTATATGAAGATAATGCGACACCCCCTCATAGGGCATCATCTCGAATGATTGGATTGAGTAAGCAAACCTTGCAAGAGGGATCACTATATTCTCCTGCGCTCAAGTCTCAAAATGTCGAATCACAGTCCCACAAATACCCAACACCAACATCATTGAAACAACAACGATGCGCGCCCCGTGAAATACCCATTCAATCTTCCAAGTCAGCCCCCGATACACACCCCGTGCTCCAGGAAAGATCAATCAATATGGGGCCCCCAGCTCTTCCTCAAAAAAGAAAACTTGGCATGTCCCTTGCTCCTCTGCCCGACAACAGGCAAACAGTCAGCAGCTCTAATCTTCCACCATCTTCCACACAAGCATTTATTGAATCCCATCTCGACGAGTTCTTTACCACTCCAACTCAAGAAGCTAGAGAATTGTGCGATGATCCCATTACACCTCGGCCTTCCATGATATCAAAAATAGAATCCAGATACCAAAGCCATCATCAAAAGCAAGAAGATATGAAAGATTGTGTTTCTAAAGCCGCGGATGATGAATTTGGAGAAATGCTATCCACTCAGGAACTCAGAATGTTTTCGCAGGATTGGGAAACTGCTAGTTCACCTCCCCGGCAAGGAAATGAAAACAAGATCGAGACCCCTAAACAGATATCAGCGGCACCTGAAGATATACAAAACTTGATCTGTAGTCAGAATTTATTTTTAATGAGTCAAGAACTCACCGGAATGCAGTCTGTCTCGAAAGTCAAGTCACCCACAATAATCACCTCGCAGCTACCACAGGCTCAAAAGTCCACATTGGAGCGAAATCAGCATTCAACAGCTAAGCCGCAAACTCAGCTTCCCGAGCCACCTTGTATTAGCACCCCCCAGGTCGACGCCGATGTGGACCTTACGCCAAAGCCCAGAAGATCGCCTTGGTTCAAAGAAAAACCGGAGGATAGATATCCCCAGAAGAGATTTTTCACTGAGAAACCGGAGGATTTGGAGGCTGCCGCCATCGAGGATAGTAAGGAAGCCTGGGAAGAAATCAAAGAGGCTACTTCATCTAACAGACACAACTTCGATGATGATCTCGAACCTGAAGTAGATGAGCTACTCAAGGCTGCGCTTGCGGAAAGTAAGGAATGGGATGAGGTGTACAAAGCAGTCGTTCCAACGCCTACGCCGAGAAAGAATGGCGAGAAAGAGAGAGAAGGCATGGAAATGGAGGGGAAGGAACATCAAACGCCATCCCGAATCGCGGAAACCCTGACAGGAGGCAGTGCAGTAAAGAATGGTGCGAAGAAATTTGAAAGAGCGCCTAGTGTTGCTAGTACCGATTACGGGGATGGAGAGGATTCGGATTGGGACGGTTTTATGGCTGAGCTATGAAGGATGTTGATGGAGATGGAGGAGAGAAGAATGACTTATTAACAGGGCATGATTGCGTTTGGCGTGGACATGGGTTAGCATGGAATCATATATGGGTATACATATGGGCTGGTCTGGGTTTAAACATTGGTATTGGCATAGATATGCATACTGTATTCATATGTTGTATATCACAGGATATCAATATGCATAGGAGGATTGGACTATTTGTTTAGCGTGGCATTATGGAAGGCATGGATGGGTTTTTGTGGGCATTTTTTCGTGATGTAAAATTTGGGAAAGAATATATTCTGACAAGGGCTTCTTGTTACATTGATTGGCGGGGTTTCACATTCATTTAGGGTCTGTTCTTCACTGCACTCGTTGAGAAGATGGCGGAGTGTTTAAGGCACTGGTATTTGGGAACACCAGGGTGTTTTAGCACGGCAGCAAATATGCCATCATGATAGCCTGGGGTTCTTTCTTAGATAGCTATCACAGCATGATATGTTATTACATATCTCATACAAAGTCATGCCAGTGTACAACTCAGAATTGATTTTCCGGGAGAAGCAGCATTTGTTCTGTTTTTATGGTGGAATGGCACTTGGTTAAATCTTCAGCATTGCTTCAACCATCCTATCAGCATCTATTAGGGCGACCAAATTTTGATATCTTGGAAATAAGCTTTACCAAGCAAAGTTCTCAACTCGGTTTCAGTTCGCTTCCGTCTACTGTTAAACCCTATCATTGTCAAATCTAGGAGTGCACGAAAGTTCGTAGCTCCTTTTGAATAACATAACTTTTCCCCAATGATAATTGACCGCTAACAAAAGATCTGGTACTCCAACGCCTTTGGCTTCTGACTTCCACAAAATTCACACGTAAGTAGCAAAAACGAGACAGGCGGGCAATAGGGAGACCAAAAGTTAGGTGTGTCAAGAAATCTGCAATGAATTCTTCCCCATCAGTCAGGCAGTCTTTTCTCTTCGCTGTAATTTTATTTTTAATAGAGGGAGGCACACCATTCTAGCATTCCGATCATTTCCAAATAAAGGTTTTCGAGACTTGCCCAATTAAGTTTGCTTTACTTTTTGAAGTGTGTCAGACCTTCTCTTCCCGCTTTCAAAGTCCCTACTAGTGTCATTCATTGACTAGGCCTTGACCATAATCAAGATCCACCTGCAATGGCCTCTACTCTAGTCGACGAAAGTCTCGGCTCCGCATTGGTGATATTGGCATGGACTTTTGCTGCCGCTGCTATCATAGTTGTTTGCATCAGGTACTATACTCGCCTTCGGATTGTCCGAAGGTTCACTGTTGACGACTGGCTAATTCCTTCTTGTACTGGTAGTTTTGTTTCCGCAGTCCTACACTTACCAGATCGCTGATATTTTGACAAGTGCCTTGCTCTTTGTGACAGGGTTTTCTGTACAATATCAGTCTATCATGGACTACGTCGTCACATCCAGTCTCTCTCCGAAAGTCAAATGAAAAACACAATAAAATGGGTGTATTTTGCCTATTCTTCGTAATGATGAGTCCTTAGTTTGGGCGTATATCAGCAAGACAGTAGAATAACAGTATAAACAGCAAAAGACGTGATCAATTGCAACCACAGTCGCATTGATTCTTCTCTTTTACTCCTGGTTCAATTCAACCCCCTACCCCATAACTCACAACCATCAACTACACAGCAAAAAAAAGACCAAACAGCCAATAGATACCCTTCCATTCCAACTCATAATATCGAACCGATCACGTTCTCAGAATTTACTCCCCTCCATCAATAAAACCTATTGTCCCACAGAAAATCCCAATAACGAGCTTCCGCATTGCGCGCTGTTCCAACCTAATCTGGAAAAGAGACTGGAGTGGATATATTGGCTTTCGATAAAGGGGATGGGGGTAACTACAACAGGTGCGGTGATATTGCATGCGTCGTCACTGGTGATTAGAATCGTTAGTCTTGGGTTGGTTGGAATGGGTGTATATTCATATATAGAGGGAGATAAGCGAGATTAAGGCGCAAGGAAAGAAACGTACGTATAGAAAAGGCAATGAGAATCACGACAGAAGAGAGCTGATTCGAGGGTATTGCCGAAGATCTCGAAGGGGAAACAGAGGGAATAGGAGTATGTTGCTGTCAGATCGCCGTCGTAGGTCGCTGCTACGAACTATGGGATGGTTAATTTAGGGTATTTTGTGGGGTCTTTCGAGTGGGGGTATAGAACTCGGGTAAGATACGAGAGGGGTGGGAGTAGACGATTATGGGCCTTGAATCAGAAAAGGTATGGGGCAGGAAAGAGTCAGGAGGTACATTTCGGCTTACATTATTGGGATTCTGGACTTGACACGAATCTATTGTCTGGGCATTTGTTTGAGAGTCGGCCATCGCGTAGTTCGCAAATCCAAGAAATAGAGTTGCGAAGGAGGAAGTGTAGAACTTCATATTTGAGTTCGTGAAATGATATCTAGAGTGTTTGTGGATAAGGACTTTAAGACGAGGGAGTGATCGAGTGATATGAAAAACTATAGGCAGATAATGAAGTGATGGATAAGTTGACTGGAGGGAAAAGCAAGAATATATACGTTTTCCTTGCAATCAGCTCATAGAACAAGAATCAGAAGGACCCTGATGGCAGTTGAAGCAATATTGCCGAGTTTCAGGGACAGTAGTTGTACAAGAGCTGTGAGGATATCAAGCCATATGATCACACAGTAAACGGTATGAGATATTGGTTAAGCTGGCTGAAAATCGGTAGCTGATGCGTTTGGATGATATGTGATCAATTTGAAGTCCATTGTGAAGAAATAAGCAAGAAAAGCCTACAGTCACTAGTATATCTTTACAACCAGATAGGGTTTTCTTGATCCAACGGTGTAATCGCATTGCGCATGATACTTCATGAAACACAATTAAGTAACGACAATTTGAGTGGTGTTACGTAGTGCAACGAAACACCATAAGCTGAGATGTGAAAGATCTTAATCGTGAGATCGACGATAGAACTTTTGTGATGGATCGCATTATGAAGATGTGGAAACACGTTTCAGCGGCTCGACTTGCTAAATATTCGGCCACGCCGATGGCATGTCACTGTGGATAATGCATGACGAGAGAAGTGCTACAGTAATCTCGGTATCACTAAAATGTAGCCGGATTCACTTTTGTTCATTGCTAGATCGGTCATGAGTGTCAAATATTGACAGCATGACTCGTCGTAAGCGCGCAAGCCAGGATCGGGTATCCAAATAGCCAAGATATCTCAGCTCGCGGGTCCCGATTGTTCCTATGGGAGAGCAATCGAGCAGTTTTCGAGCCGGCCATTTCGGAAATGTGAGGACTTGTGAAGTCTTCGGCAGAAACGAATACACAAATAGACCAAAAGGTTGCGGTAAAATCTGTACTCGCTGGGACTGGATAAATCATGGGAACAACTTGTGAATGAAACTCTGCAAAACTTGGTAATATTGAGATATCCCAGATCCTACTTTTCCAAACATTGACTTGAAGAAATTGTCTCTGTCTCAACTGATGTCAATCATCCAGCGATGATTCTTCAATTTGCTGTGTGCTCGAAGGTCTCAAAGTGGAAGCTTCGGAGTACCAGAGGGTTTGAGATCAACTGGTCATGAGAGCAGGAACTCCTGACAGATCGCTCCTTTGCCCAATATAGTTGTTACAACTCCCCAAGGATTGACTAGAGCTACACTTCTTGGAACCAAGAGTTCAATATTGGGGTTCGTGCAGTTTTCGCCTCTGTTCGTGACACGTTAGTATTGATTATTTCCTTTCTCAACGCTCAACTCAAGCTTGGATGATGACAAGCTAACTCGTGGGTTTCTACTAGAATCGATACAATGAAAGAAACTTCTGAGAAGATAGAATGGGCTGATACATACGCGCAATTCTTGCACAATACAGTTTTGCAGAAAACGGCGGCAAGTGCGGTGCTACCATTCACCGTGTAAGGATAACATTGGTCATAACTGTAAGAGGTTATCACGCCATTGTCGTATTGCACTCCAACGTACTAGGAATAGTCAGTACAATTCATTGAATTTCCCAGGTCACATAAGTCAGTTAACATTTATATCAAACTTTTGACAAACCGTTGGGATTCAGTGCCCAAAAGTCTTGGTACATTTGGTTTCAATAGGGCTGCCACTGTTAAGCTATGACGTCTGGTGCCACATCAACATGCGAAATTAATGAACTCACAGCATCAGGGCCTGCATCCTCACAGTACGTGTTAAGGGTTGTGTAGCTCGGTTCAACAGAGTCTCGAAGGGTAATGGAATTAGCTGTAGTGGGAATGACGGGGGTGGCTGCGGCTAAAACGATACATGATGCGATAACAGCTGAGAGAAAGAATGCCATTTTGTATAGCACTTTGGTAATTGATGAGGCTCGAAATCAATGTGAAGTGTATGTGTGAACGGAGTATGCTGATTTGAGTGGGTTTAATGCTCATACTTATACCAGAAGAGGCTTCGAGATGCTCGTAGCAACCCATCACCAAGTGTTGAACTCCAAAGTCCATCCATCACTTACTGGTCTCCTATCGGAATTGATCGTCGCACGAACAAGAATTCAAGTGATAATCACTTGACGTCAGCAAATTTTTTGCAGGTGAATAGTACAAACAAGGATCCCCATTATCTCTTTGAGCGATTCGTCAATCCACGCGATTATGCGATGCAAAGAAAAGGATCAGGAAGGGGATGGCTAAAAGCTCTAAGGCGTTGCAAGGAGGAGACAGGGTGATTGGCATCATGGAAGTCGGTTGTACTCCCACACTAGTCCGTAAGATGCAGAGATCTTGTGTAGTGTAAGACGAACGATACCATCGGAATGTTGAACATTATCGAAGCCGGAATAAAGCTCTAAATATCGCCGAAGCATGCATGAAGTTTCCGAATCGCAATATATTAACTGGATATCTCCTATCGGAAGCTTAAACCGACTACAGCTGTTTGAGACAAGCTGCAGTGGTATCGACAGCTACCCGGTGCGTTACTTATTCAAGTGACGGACGTCTAAAGATAGAGTGGTGCAGATTTACAGATTTGACAGCATATCTAGGAAGTTCCCGACATGCCAAGAGCGAGGAAATGAGCTCGCAAAAATGCAAACGAAGTGAAGAAGAGATGATTCTTGGGGATTTTTGGATTTTTGAGATGGGAAGGCATATGTGCTAATGCTGGGATTCCGCCGCACCGCCGCACCGTCGGAATTTTCTGGGACAATGGCGTGCACGGTGCATTAATCCCACTATTGACTTTTGGCTTACAGATATGTTAAATGCCACTCCCTCTCAAGCTTATTTTCCCACCTCTTGATCAATTAGAAACATTGATACATACTATTTGACTTGCTAATCATGCCACCAACTATAGTTCTGATTACTGGTGCAAATCGGGGATTAGGCAAAGGCCTGCTCCAGCGCTACTTAGCATTGCCGAACCACATCGTGATCGCCGGAAACCGTGACCCATCTCACGAGACTTCTCTAAAGTTGGCTGATCTACCTAAAGGCGAAGGAAGTAGCTGTAAGTACTTTTAAGACACGTCTACCTCCATTTTTCAACTTGATGCCGGTGAAAGGGACCAGATTCCTGAATTAGTCCTCCGAAAGTCTTCGACTAGTGTTGGCTAACATCGATTATTGCAGTAATTGTGGTCAAGATTGACGCCTCCATCGACCAAGACGCATTCGATGCAGTTCGAGAGCTTCAAGACAAGCACAAAATAGAACATATCGATATAGTTATTGCCAACGCTGGAATAAGTTATGTTTGGCCAACTGTGGCAGACCTCAAGATGGCGGATCTCAAGGCGCACATGGAACCCAATGTATATGGTTGTATAGCAATATATCAGGCTACACGGAATTTGCTGAATAAGTCGACAAAAGAGCCAATATTTACTCCTATGGGCTCTATCGCTGGGGCAGTAGCGTAGGTTCCAGACATACTTTACTGTGGCTATTCCATATTCCCAACACTAACATATCGACAGGCGTCAACTTCCCTTCCCAAATGCTGCATATGGGTCCTCAAAGGCTATAGTTAATTGGCTCACTATCCGAATCAACGCCGAGGACGACTGGTTAAACGCTTTTGTCATGTCTCCAGGCGTTGTCGCAACCGAGATGGGCTACGATGGTGCGAAAGGCTTAGGTTTCGATGAAGATGAAATAAAGGAGACCCTGATTTCCCCCGATAAGTCTTGTGATGGTATGATGAAGGTTTACGCCGATACCACCAAAGAAAAGCACGGTGGGAAAATGGTGATTTACGACGGAAGTATTTGGGAATGGTGAGGCTCCCATTAAGGAGGATTTGTAGGGAAATAGATGGATAGGATCGATTGTGAGAGAGACGCAAAGATGGAATGAACAGAATGAAACAAAACCGAGATCCAAGCTTCTTCTCCCAATGAATCATCGTTACACAGTCATAACACGGGTTATTTGGGACATTTGATTGCCTCGAAGTGTTCCAATGAAGAAATGCTCCTGGAAACTCATGTCGTGTATAATCATTGGCAGATATATCCTTCAGTTCCAGTAGCCTGCGAAGATACAACTGCGGACACGAAGTTTGCGCCCTCTCTTGGCATATTCCTTCTATTCTTGCAAAGGTTTCATAACATATTCAACCAAAATTTATGCCCTGGCATTACGAGCTTTATTCTGACCACCACCCAAGCCCAAACTTTCTGTCCACAGTAATTTAAATCGTCAATTGTCTGCTTCATCCGCATAGCATTGACTTTAGGACAAATACTCAAATATTTGAAGAATAGTTCTCGGTGTTGACAAACGTCTCCCAACAGTTGCCAGGTTTCGCCGTATGGCTTTCGTCGGATTTATTGGCGAGCCCGAACGCAGCCATTCTTTTACGATCCCAGAAAACAAACCCAAACTGTCGAAAACATCATGCGAAATACGAGTTCCACCACTGGGGAGAATTTGATGCCCGTACGCATCATGAAAGGTACACATTCCGGGGATCTGAATCATATCGTCAAAGCTCTGAATGCCCTGACCCCATATGTCTGAGTCCCTATTATCTCCAAGCGCCTGTTCAATAGCCGGGTAAACAATATGAAGGTGTGGAGTTGGTATACTTGAGTAATACATTCATATTTTGACTGAATACAATAGACACATAATTCAAAGCAACAATTATGAAGCCGTCCACAGAAAGAAAAGATAGTATTGTGGTCAGTTAGGTAGTTAGTCGTTAGAGGTGCGCTGACTGGTATAGGTATAGTATAATCAAACGATGAACCTATAATATGTGATTTCTGTGAGTATCAAGGGATAGATCTGGAATATACGGGCAGCTAAATATGGGAGGCTCGAATATCGAGCTTAGTGTGCCTACTATGTGGAACGTATCAATGATCACTTAAATAAATACTCCTGCTTCCTGTTGATTCAGTTAGGGCTTGTATTGCGGTTTGATTCTATAACTATAAGTTAACTGGTTGATTCATTCTCTTGATGTTCTTCCTATATAAGTTCGAAGCTGCAGTATGACACTATTAGCACAATACGAAGTGCATAACTACATTGCTTTATGTGATTTGAAGTTATTGTTTACTGTCTAAGACCATTTTAGCATATCCAGGGTCGATATATGCATTACTTTTACTTCACTCACAAATCCATTGAATTTAATCTAGTTAACGAGATTGAGGGCCAGAGTGAAATTCCTTCAAAATTTCACTTTCAAGCGATAAGCGATATGGCCAATAGGGTCCTTGGGAGGCTCTTGACTCACCGTAAGTAGAACTTGTTCCACAAATGAACTAACCGGAAAGAGTGGTGCAAAGCAAGCAGTCTGGTGTTCAAACGTGACCTGATTACTCAGCACTTACATATGCAACATTGAACGGGTTCCGGCAGAATCGATGAAGCGGTGAGCAAGAATTCGTATATTTTCGGTCAGAACATTCTGACTTCGTTTCTCCTTCATGTCCAACAATCTCTATTGCATATTTCATTCCACCTATGCTCTTTATATTTATAGGTTCAGTGACATTGTTGGTTTTCTGCGATAACGATCATTTGTCTGTACTGGTCTTTATCACGGCCATCTTACCCCAAAGAGTCAAAAGGTACTCAAATGCTGTGCCGTACCAGTGTCGAAACAATAAGACATGTTGCAATACTACTCGAGTATTATGTTGCTCAGTGCATCATATGCAGTGCATCTGAGGGTGATGGTTTTTGAATTACCCATGAAAAAGAGCTATGCATTCTCAATAGGAGACCTACTCCATTCACTGGTAGGTAATAAATCTATTTTGATGAATTTCTTTTCGTTTTGATGTTTTGAATCGTGATGATCAATCGCGAGCAATGAGGGTAACATTGAATTGCCCATGAGTTTAGGCTTCATGAAACAAAGCATGGCTCAGTTGAACCTATCTATCCTCAGAATCTGCACTTTCGATCACTTGTCTACGGGGGCTAGCCACTACACCGGATTACCCACCCCTTGACTATCCCAGCCTTTTCGTCTTTCTTTGAGGCTCTGCTTCTCCTAAATTGCCTAATTGATGAATTTTGATATAACGCGGGAAGGGCGCAGTCGTTGATATCTACCCGTTTGATCCGACGCACCACAGATGTACAGGCTGCACCTCGAGGCTCGCAGGCTTGTTGATGAAGGATGCGGCACGCAAATTTTGCGGCGAGATATTTGGGGGCGAGTGGGGCGGAAGTATACTCGAGTAGATGGGGATAGTAATGAGATCGAGTGGTATTTATGTCTCCTTTCCCACATTTCCGAAAGAATCAGCTCAAGTTTAATTTCGATACATTCTGATCTTCCAGGATTAATTCTAAAAATATGCTATTTTTCTATGCGACTCTAGCCTAGATAAGCGCATGTGTTGAAGTCGCTTCGGCCTTGTACGGCAATGATGTCGGTATCTCACATCGCGATTCATATCCGAGCAGACAAGCAACAAGTTTAGGGGCAATTACCGTGCGTTCTGCAAAACAGAAGCGAGGCCTGCCAGATTTTAAGCTAAGTTTTGAGTGTTCACATCATTATGCCGATCGTAAGTTAAGTTTTCAACTTTTTACTCTTACTTCATGATTCGGCCGATTCAAATCCTTTGATACCCTCTTATGAATCGATGCCGGAAAAGGGGAGTGATAGTTATTAGCCTCGTTACCACGAAGAGTATAGATACTAATGGGGCATAGACGATTCCATACTTAGAGGAACACATTCGAGGTTTGCGACCACATCAATGAAATATAGGTTGCCGGCAGTTACTTTGGAAGACATCGAGCTCAATGCCAAGAATATTGTGTGTTCGGAGTCGACCATCATCATCGATTTTCCTTCTTCAAGACTGTTAGCTGAGGCGGAAAGGGAATGGAAGGATTTAACAGAGTTCTTGCTTATATTTTCGCATGCTGGCTGCAACAGCGAAGGTGCACGAGCCCCATACTTGTAAGTGGCCATTATGATGAAAATGTCTTCAATCTTACTGATCATTGCAACAGAGTGTCTAAGGTTGATTTTGAGCCTGAATTCTATATCGCTATTCTATCTGTCCGTCGTCTCGAATGGAGCGATGCTTACGATACAATGGAGGTAAATTTCGGCATGGGTCAATATGACAGCAGTTGCATTCGGGTACATGGTGATTTGCGAAAAGGAACAACCCCAATAGTCTCAGTTACGTATTCCGAATCAGTATCTTACCCATCAGCTCCTTCAGCAACACCCACCGCAGACAACCCAGTCCGGAATATTGCATATTCCGTACCTGCGGGGGGTCTCAATCTTGGGACTTTCACAGCTGCGTATGACAAATCTTCACTCCATCCATTGAAGCGTTTACTTATAGCTAACAACACCACCAGAACTGATGGACAAGATGGAACTTCATCGATTAATTGCGCCGACTGCTCCGTAGAAGGCTCGATTGAGATAACTCAAGGAGTTTTCACCATCAGTATCTACTCTCAAGCAGCAAACTTCGTAAATCATGGTTACTTTGATGCAGTAGCCAATGGACTGGGTGCTCATATCGAGATCGATACTTCAATTGTGGGAAGTTTCACCGAATCGTTTAACAAGACTCTTTGTTGAAATATCTTTACTAGGATTTCAGGTATTTATTTAGAATCTCCATTTCGTATGCTTGGCCTAGTACGGACATCCTAACTCGTCCCCCAGATCCCCGACGTCGCCACCATAGGGCCAATGTGGAGACCTATCGTCTACGGCTCCATCGATGTCTCCTCCAACATGAACTTCACCTACGGTTTTTCTGCCGCCGTCCCCACTGACTCCTCAATTCACCTCAACATCGGAAACCGTACCGAGTCGTTTTTCAAAGGCTTCAACCAAACATCCGTTACCGCTCTTCCTCTCACAGCCACAGATCCTTCTATCTCTCTTAATCTCTCTCTGGCCCTCCGCTCCTAAATCCTACTCGGCGTAGACATCCTCTCAGGCAAAGGCAGTATATACGCAGGAGCCTTCCTCGATCTCCCAGCCCTCTCCGTATCCATCTCTCAAGTCTCATCTGTAGACAAAAGTTGCGATCCCGCGTTCGATTCCCCATCCCTCTCCAAAACAGATATCTTCCCCTCCCTAACAAACATCGTCCCCTACGCCGCCATCGCCGTCGGTCTCGAAGCCGGGGTCCATCTAGATGTCCCAGATCTTAATGTTCAGGAAGATTTTGGCCCAACGATTACATTGGCCGGAACTTCGATTACATTACCAACAGCGTGCTTAAAATTTGATGCAGAGGTCAAGGAGTTTGTTAGTACGACTCCGACAGGAGCGGCAGCGGATTCAACAAAGTCGCCAAATACTGGGGGAAAACTTGCTTTACCGTTGGGTTTGGATGGGGGCATAGATTCGTGGTATTGGACTGCGGGAATGTTGGGTGGTGTTTTTTTTGGTTGTGATGGGATTGTGATGAGTTTTCTCATGCCATGACTTTACCAATCTTATATAGGATAGGGAAAAGGGTTTAAAGGGGTTGTGAGTTTGTTATAGATATCCAGATTCTATTTTTCAATCTTATTCGTATTCTTCGCATCGTAATTTGTATTAAAAGACAAGATGGTGGTTCCTCATCTCACCGCACCTGTCAGTCTTTCTAGGCCATTCCATTCCTTTATGTGGCTATAAAGGCCTTTAAGGCCCTTAAAGCATTCCCTTGAAGGAATTTAATGCATTTCTTTTCATTATATAGCTCTAGACTCTTCTAAATGTATCCTTTATTAGCTAGAGCAAGATATTCATGATCTTTTTTATAAAACTGAATTCAATAGCACCTCCTTTGAGAGTATCTTTCTTTCCTTTTCTTTCCTTTTCTTCTCTTCCCTTCTTCCTATGCAAACTACACTACACTGCATAAAACAGAAGAAACCAATTATCAAAACAATAACACCTATGTTCCCCCTCCTCCCCTCTCTAGCCTAGTACTCATACTATTAGTACCTATTCATCCACCATCCATCCACCATCTTACTATCCACAACCCCCCCTCACCTCACCCTATCACTAAATCCTCACTCCCTATTTTCACTCACTCATCTCACTTCACCAACTCACTCATCCCATCATTCCCTCATCTCACCCTCGTACCCACCAACTCACTCCCCAACCTCATCCCATCCCATCCCATCCCTTCCCCCCAAATCCTTTCAATAAACCTCAGCAAACAGCCGCAACCCCAATCCCAACCCCAATCCTTGCCCTAATCCTTGCCCCAACCCCAGCCCTAACCCCAAAACCAAATCCAAATCCATTCCCTCAACAAGCTTAGTATTAATAACCAAACAACATAATATAACTCACTCACTAACTCACTACTACAAACTCAGCAAAAAGAAGTTAAGATAGATAAAAATACATACATTTCTTTTGATTTCCCAAGATAAAAAGATAAAAAGAAGAAAGAAGGAAGAAAAGGGATAGACAGCGATCTACCGGAACTCTAGAACGAATAGTGTGAAAGAACTTACTCGAGTAGATACCGGTACGAGAGATCTTTTTGGAAATCGAGGGATGGATATATATATACTCTAATATCTATACTTCAGGTACAAGTAGGTGTACGTTCGATGGGGTTTTTACAACTTGAGGTCTATGTGATATACTCGAGTAGATAAATGTAAGATTATAAGAATAAGGGTTGGAAAGAATAAATTGTTTACATTTTCAGACCACATTCACTTATTCACTCATATACTTGAGTAAATGAATCTTTACTCAAATTTTGGAAAACAAAACAAGGTCTCTCATTTCTGTCTACCACTAATATATCTATCTATCTATCCTTCATTCTTCATTTCGTGCATTGTGGGTATGTTCATCATATCATAACTTATAAAACCATTTATTTCCTTCCCATTTGTATTCCTTCACAATCTATCCATCCAGAGATCCATTCAGACCAATTACACAGTATCATATCCATATTGATACCAATGCAGTCATCTTTCAGAAATCCAGCCAGTCCACCAAACCATTCTTAAAGAAAATGCTGAAATAGCTTAGCACAATTGCTTCAATCCCTCGAAACCGTTCAACAACTCCGGGTGGCTTCCACCAACAAACTTGACAATACCAATGACCTTTTCTCTAGTCTCGACTTCCAGTTGCTCAGTTGGCTCACCGAGAACCGCAGCAAATACTGGAATCAACTTTGGAGTAAGCTGCAAGATTGTTTGGTTGCTTTGACTGTAAAGTCCGGCAACCATTTCAAAGATAGGCTCATTCTCTTCGTAGTCTTCCTTGAGTGGCAATAATCCGGCCATGACTGGTAGGATATCGGCGAGAGGAACGGCATCTTGATGAGCCATGATCATACGAGAGACACATCCGCAGGCGTTATCGATGGAGCGGGCGTGGCTAGTTTGGAGGAGTGGCTCGAGTTTGCCAAGGATAGTGTTGTATGATGGGAGGTAGGTAGCGCTATCTTGGGAGTGGAAGATCAAGAGACCAACACCGTATGCAGCGTTGGACTTGGCTTCAGGGTCGGTATCGGAGAGGCGCTTAAGGAGGACAGGCAAAAGGGATGCAGTGAATGGTGTGATAGCTGAGCCCATGTGACCAGTGATTTCGGCCATGACACCAATTGCGGTGGAGCGCTCAAATGGAGTGTTGGAAGAGGCGAACTTCTTAAGAGGCTTCTCGAACTCCTTGAAGATTTCACCGAATTGAGCTCCGAGGACAAGAGCAAGGTTTGAGGTGAGGTCAAGAGCAGTGTCAATGACCAGCCAGTCATACTCGGATGACTCGGCATCATCCTCATCGGGAGACTCAAGCTCATCACCGAGATCCTGTTGACAAGGGTGAAGACGCATGATGACAGCAAAGATGACGTTCTTGATGGCTTCAGCAAAGTTTGGCTGGGCCAAGATAGCTGGACCGCAAAGCTTCAAGGTAGAGGCAACGTTGCGATTGATATCAGTAACGACACCACTATTTCACAAAGTTAGAAAAGTACCATAAGGGTCTTGGATAAATTGCATCAAAAGAAGGGTGATCAGGAGTAGATACGCGTTCGCAGCATGTGCAACTTGTGCATCTGAGTGAGCTGGGTATAACGTCATGTTGTTCATCATTTCAGATATCAGAGAAAAAATAAAGAAAAAGAACTTACCGATCATATTCATCCTCCCACAGGGACATTGTTGCAGTTGTAACAATCTCTCCCATCTTGATCAACTCAGGAGTTGGTTGAACTGCCATAGGTAGACCAGGGGTCCACTTTGTTCCGGTCTTATCCTCCATCATACTGTAAAGGCAAGCGTAGGCTCTCCACATTGTGCTAATGGCAGTCTTTCTAACACCTTCATAAGAATGCTCAACTAATGGTGAGATAGCCTCGATGGTTCTCTCAAAGTAAGGCATATAGTGTTGACGAGTATGTGTGAGGATGTCACCGATAACTTCGACTGCAACTTCCTTCTCCATAGCTATAGCGGTGACGGCGGTAAGATCATCCCAGTCTTCGTCTTCCTCATCATCGTCCATGTCATCAAGATCGTCGATATCTGTAGGACCAGCGACCTTGACCTTCTTGCCAGCAACAATGACTTCTTGGCCAAGCAATTCTTTGGCATGCTCACCGAGCTGAACTTCGTGGTCGTCTTCTTCTTGATCCAGACAAGCAGCCAAAGCAGTAACAACTCCTTCTAAGAAGGGTGTGAACTCCTCCTCGTAAACCTTTGCCAAGGTACTCCAGAGAATGTAACTGGTTTCCTTCAAGCGGGGGTGATCAAGGTGTAAAGCTTCTTCACTTGCGTGCATCAATGGCTTGACGTAAGGTTGGAAGACCTGAGCACCAACAGCTAGTGCCATGCTGCCAATAGAATCACAGACAGTAGCACGGAGATCAAGCTCATCATTACTTGACTTCAACTCGACAAATTGTGCCAACTTCTCAATGGTGTCCTTGAAAAATGGAAGGAACTCCTGCTCGGAAGAGCTCGCGACAGATCCAAGAGCACTTGCGGAAGCAGACTTGACACCGACATCGGGGTGGTCCAACAATTGAGTGAGGCGTGGGACAAGAGTTGGGAGGTAGTTCTTGACGATATCTTGATCCATACCTTCGGTCAAAGAGTCCAAAGCGCCACATGATGCCTTCATAGTATCAAGAGTCTGTTTGTCGTTATTTCCGGCAGCTGCATGTTGCATAGCAGCATCGAGGTTCTTGAGAAGGGCAGGAATGAGATGCTCGTGAGTCTTTTGGAGATCCTCAGCAAGATCATCTGCCAATCTTGCAACACCGTTGAGAGCCGCATGTCTGACACCACTTTCTGGGTCCTCGAGAAGCTTGAAAACAATAGGCAAGAAACTATCCATTTGAGTACCGACGAAATCTGGTGCACCTTCAACACACATGCCGAGTGCAAGGATACCTGCTTGTCGGTATCTTGGATCTTGGTGGCTCGAGAATTGTGGAAGAGCGTTGAGGAGAGGAACGATAACCTGGCGAGGTGGCAAGCTTTCAGCGAGTAAACTGAGGAGGCCCAATGCAGAGCGAGCTGGGGAAGTCTCGTCATCTTCATCGTCATCATCCTCAAGCTCTGTGGCGATTTTCATGCTCGTCATGGTGATCTTCTCACCCAAATCCTTGGTGCCTTGAATCTTCATCTTTCTATATCTGGTGCATTGCATAAGGAAGGATAAAGCTTGGGTTCTAGCATCGTTTTCGTTGTTGGTATCCGCGGCAATTTCAAGCATAAAGTTGCAAAGGTCCTTGAAGTGAGGGGCGATCAAAGCCGACTCACAACCCAACAAAGTTTGGAAAACCTCGAAAGCTTGTACGGTGCGGTCCTCCTCCTTGGAATCGATGAACTTCTTCAAGACATTGACCATATGTGGGAAAATCTCAAGGAAGAGTCTCAAACTCTCTGGGTCCTCATCTGGCTCGAGCATTGTAGCAACAGCTCCAAGACAGATTAGAGTGTTGATTTGTACATCAGTGCTCTCTTGATCGTGGATGGTCTTGCCGAGAATAGAGAAGAGAACAGGAGTTTGTTCAGCAAAGTAAGTCGAAGCGGTCTCGAGTAAGGTAAAGAGAATGAAAACTCCGACCTCACGATGTGAGACTTGGGGAGAGCCTGCGGCTTGTGCGAGAGTATCTGGAAGATCTGCCCATTGTCCGTTCTCGATATCTTCACCAGCGATAGCAGCGATAACACGAGCACCAGAGTGTCTGATCAATTTAACCTCCTCATTTAATGTCTTTTGTAGAAGTTGTTCTCGGATTTGTTGTTTTTGAGCATCTGAGATATCTTTCCAGTGCTTCTTAACCAAGCGCTGAGCTTCGACGGAGGCTTGTTGTTGGATTGCTTGATCTCCATGGGAAATGAAGATCTCGATAAGCCAAAGAAGGGATTCTGGATTTGGATAGTAGTTCTTTCTTAATTCTGTGGTTGCGGCCTTGACACGTTCGGTATCAGCTGTAAAGATGAAGAGTTAGTAAAAATGAGGGGGAGGGGATTTATGACTCGAAAGAAACCTACGAATTTGGACACCCTGTAAGAGCTCGAGGAATTGTTGTTGATCCATATTGAAAAGACTTTCCGATGTACCTCATGCAAATATGGAAAATGAATTAAAGGAATGAGAGGAATGTCGAGGAAAAGAGGTGGAAAAGGTTTAAGTCAGTTGAAGTGGTTCACAAAGTTGTTAAAGACCTCGATGGATGATGGATGATGGATTGACCGAGAAAATAAAAAATTGTTCGGTAAATCAAAAAAAAGTTTTGGAGGGGAATAGAACATGGGTGGGGGTGTGGGGAACACGGGTCTTTTATTTAGGCCTCAGGCCAAATAGCGGGATTTGCTAGCAATTTGACCCACCTGCATAAAAAAAAGCAATAAGATTAGAAGTCATTTAACATTGCAAAGCATAGGTAGGAAGAACAGTGAATGAATACTGGAGTATAAAATTAGGTAATTCACTTGGAGGTATCCAAAACCAACCACCCTTGATATGGGAGAAGACATTGTTACAGCAGGGCAAAGTGTGTCCGCAAAGTGTGTCCGCAAAGTGTGTCATGGACGTCTAGTCTTTGATTCCTTATCTGATATTCATCCTTATTTCAACTTGAATGGGTTCTGAATCTTCTGATGAAGTGATCAAAGTGATCTTCCAAAGCTGGCTTGATATTGAATCATCTACCGGTACTCCCGGATACCTAGTTTCCGAATACCTAGTTTGGTATTTAGGTAGTTACAACATAGCAACAGTAAGGCAAGAACGGTTCCCCAACTTCATATCAGTAATCAATAATCAAGTGCTAGTGTAATACGGATACATGATTACTGCACCGGAGATGCAGTGAGAAAGAGTCCGCATCATCAGATGCAATGGATATAATTCCTCGATTGGACACTTTGAGTTGCATACTCGGTCAATCGGTGAAGAAAGACCTCCAATGTCACACAAATCGTTGGGCACAGGTGCTACTACTAAGCATATGTGACTTCTTTTGTCAGACCACCGGTGTGGTGTGATCGTTGACGTATATATTTGATCTATCTGCCACTGCCAAATTATCCTAAACTTCAAACACAATCCAGACATATCCAAATTTGACTCCAATATGAACAACGATTCTCTTTCTCTGGAAACACGTGGGAGGAGGCTTCTCCCCAATCTTATTGACGAGATAGCATCAAGCGATCCTACTCGCATCTTTGCATCAATCCCATTATCAAACGATCTTCAGGATGGGTTTCGAGACATCGATTTTGCCGATTTTGCCCGCTCTATCAATCATTGCGCATGGTGGATTGAGAAAAATTTAGGACGAAGCGAAACTTTCCAAACTTTGAACTACGTTGGACCTCAAGACCTGCGATATACTATATTACCATTTGCTGCTATTAAGACAGGATACCAGGTCTCAGAATCTCCTCTTGTCAAGTCTCGTGATTGGCTAACATCTCTAGGTGCTTTTTATTTCGCCTCAAAATAGCACAGAAGGTCACATTGCACTTCTCGAGTCCTTGCAATGCAAAATCCTTCTAGTCTCAGAAGCATTGCCTGCACGCGCCCAAGATATACTCTCCAGACGGAAGATGCGGACTTTAGCGATACCCAGCTTACAACATCTACTCAACAACGACCTCATATCATTCTACCCTTATACGAAAACCTTTGAGCAATCCAGACACGAACCATTCATCGTCCTCCACACATCCGGTTCCACCGGCACCCAAAAACCCATCATCCTCACCCACGGAACCATGTCCCAACACGACACGTTCCTCCTCCCCCCACCACCCAACGGCCAACCCATCGCTCTCTCCCTCTACAAAAACGCACGAGTATTCATCGGACTCGGCCTCTTCCACAGCGCAGCCATCTGTTTCATGACCCTCTGCATCTACTCCTCCACGATCCTCGTTCTCCCCCCACCCATCCCCATGACGCCCACACTAGCCAACCTCGCCCACCTCCACGGAAACCTCATCGCCAGTTTCCTAAGCCCAGCAATCCTTGTCCCCATCGCCAAAACCCCCGAATATCTCGTCAACATCCGTAAATTGCGCCATCTACACTACGGAGGCGGTCCCCTCCCCAGAGAAATCGGAAACGTGCTAAAGTCACACACCCACCTCTCCGTGCAGTTCGGAACCACCGAATCAGGATTTTCCGCCCTTCAAATCACGGATCCGGATGATTGGGAATACATGAGTTTTAGTCCCATCATGGGTATCGAACTGCGTTTATACACCGAAGGTCTCTATCAATTATATTTCGTGCGCGATACCCAACTCGCGTTATCGCAGGGGATTTTCGCGACATTTCCAGACCTTACTGAATATACTACTAAAGATCTCTTTTCTAAACACCCCACCAAAGCAGGACTCTGGCTCTTCGAAGGCCGCTCTGACGATATAATCGTGTGTTCGACAGGTCAAAAGATTCATCCGATGAGTATGGAGGGATTAGTAAATGCACATCCCCTAGTAACATCTGCGATAATGTGTGGACAAGGTAGAATACAAGTTTGCTTACTGGTGGAAGTGAAGGATACATGCACACCGCGGGATGAAAGGGAGAGGGATGCGCTGATAGAGGATATTTGGAGGACGGTAGAGAGGGGGAATGAGAAGGAACAGGCGCATGGGAGGATTACGAGGGAATTGATTTTGTTGACGGAGGAGGGGAGGCCGATGGTGAGGGCGGGGAAGGGGACGGTGCTGAGGGGCTTGACGGAGGAGAGGTATAGGGCGGAGTTGGATGCGGTGTATTTGAGGTTTAGGGATTGTCCGTTGGAATGAGGTAAGGGGGGGATTTTAATGGATGATTTGGGTGGAGTGGGGTTATTTGTTTTGTTTAGTGGATATTACTTGTAGAGCGATTGAACTTGGAGGCTATCGGGATGTAATGAACACTTCTTTACACATCAACAAAAGATAATCCAATCTGAAGAGCAAGAAACTCTACAATCACCAAACCGAATCGGCTAGAGACGATATTTGACTCAATTAAACAAATAAATCTGCAATTCTATTCTATATCGAGACTGGATTGAACATTCGTCGCGCCTTTTTCAATAATATCCTTTCTCTTATAGCTTATTTGTATCTGAGTCTATATATATATATAGCCCAATCAGACAAGCGTAGGCGTGCTAGTGGCGTCACTTTTGCGATAGCTATGGAGTTATTCATGTATTCGTAGTAGACAGGGGAAATTCATATACTACTATCACAATCTGGAGATGGAGGATTCGAGAATTCCCTGTTAATTAATGATTAATTTAATATTGTATTCTTTCCTATTAAAAAACAATGAATAGTAAATCGACTTACACGTCATCATAAACAAATACTTCCAGCCTTTCCTTTTCATTCCTTTTCATTCCAATTTACTCATTCCTTTCAAACTCCTCATAAAAATAGGAAAATAAAAATTGACTCAGAACTTCAACTTCAACTTTAACATTAATGAATTCATTACATATAGAATCGCAACTCTTAGGATTCAAAAGATTCATTTCCCAAATCTCCTAACACTCTTACGTACCTATCTTTATAATCATAATGCATGACTATATAGATTCCATTGAATACAACTTTGTATATCGATAATTAATTTCATATATTCTGAATTTGTCTGCCCTTTTTCCCCCCTTAATTAATTCGGTTAGTTTTCTAGCCTACTACCCATTGCTCCACTTTTCTATCATCCACTCCATGGCTAGTTCTCGGTCAAGTCGTTTCCTAACTTTTGACGGTCACAAATATTCGTACTAGTAATAGCCATCAAGTCTGAGTTTCATTCGTCTTATCATAAAACACTAAACATCAAGAATAACTCAATCATAAATCATCAGAAAACACACATCAAATCACATCACCACGTCCCAACCAACAGAACCGCAAGAAATTCCATCAAATCCCCCCAATCGAGTCCTATAAAACACAGCCAAACAAGCCAAATTAAATTGAAAATCGACCAAACATCAAATAAATCCCCAATACTAAAGACTGGCTCCCCGCACAATCAATGAGAGGGCAAAGGTAGATGCAAAGCCTTGAAAGAAGCCACAGCCTGAGCAATACTGACAGCCAAAGACGCAGATGCCAAAAACACACTCAAAGCTCCGAATATGATAACCCCCCAGAAAGTATAATAGTTCAAGGCATCTCTCTTGTCTCTCCAGAGCTGCCGGATTCCTCGAGGTTTCTGATTATCCATATAATGCCTCAACTTTCGAACTCGATCTTCAAACATGCCAAACTCGGAGTATGATACTTCGGCATTGTTTTTGATTGCCAGACTAATATTGTCCGTTCCCCAACCAATTTTTGGCAATCCATGATATTCCATTATATGGCGTAACTCACATAATTGAATTTGCTCGGGATGGTTTGGTTTACCTTCCTATGGGTATACTAGCGTAGTTGAGTCTGGATTATATGAGATGGTTTCGTAGGCACCAGCCAATTTTTCCGCATCGCAATCTTGCAAGTCTCCGCGTCCAATTTCGGCCCTTTTAATTGATGGGAGAATATGATATCCCATGTAGCCATAATATACTGATTTACTGTAGATCCGTCCCACTTCCTCGAACTATCTTTTTGTAATATGCTATCTTGTTGAATGCTTACAGATTGTTAGTTATAAATTTGTATGTTTGCGATTTTTTTCTTACCACGATCGCTGCCACGCTCCAAAACTACAATCCTGTCCTCCCCATGGTTTTTTATCAAATCTTGTCCACGCAAGATACAATATCTTTTGTGAAATATCTAATAGCAGATGTTCTTCGAGAGTTTCTGACCAAGATATTCTGAGATTGCCAATTTCTCTGAGTGCTGCTATATTCAGGTCATCAATACGCATGGTGCTTCCAGTGGCACAATCAGACTCAAAATAAGAATCCTCCGTGGATTCGCGAATGATGACCACAAGCTCTTCAAGTTGAAGGTCGAGAAAATCTTCATTCAAACGCAGGTCCTCATTCAAACGAAGGTCCGGTACCCACATAAGAAGCTTAGGTATTGCGTGTGCTAATCTTACTGAATCGCATAATATTTCAACTGCGACGACGACTAAACTGACATGAGCCCTATCGCTGAGAACATCAGAAGGGCCAAATGGCGTGTGTGGCGAGGGATCGTGTGGTTTCGCAAGCAAGGGCTGTTTCAGCAGGCCATTTTTATAACAGCATTGGAGAATGAAGCCCACCTTACACTCTGATAGCTTTGCAGGAGTTTTGCCTGGTACCAGCGTTCTTGGTACCAGCGTTCTTGGTTCCAAAAGTTTCGCGCAGGAAATCAAGACTCCAAGAAGATCTTGATTTCTGAAACCAAACTCAACAATGAAAGAATAACGTCGCCTGAACATATAATTCTCAAGGCGCTTTCGTAGCCACACCTTTCGAATTTCTAAAAGCGAAGAATAGGGTATTCCCGAAAATCTATCAATAAACATACGTAAGAAGTATTTCGACCAGGCTTCTTCGAACTTCTCTTGGAAGGTTTCGGATTTAGCTAGACCGTTAAGCAACTCCATGTCAATGATAAGTGTAGGATCTGCTTCGATCCTTTTTAATTTCCATGGCTCAGGATTAATACCAGCTTTGATTTTATCGAGTCTCCTTGTAGATTGACCCATGCCTCGGGATGCCTCTCTACCCCTACGACCTACGATAATTTTGTCCACAAATGAGATAGACTTGCCCCCTCTCACATCAGCGACATGCGAAGCTTCAGAGCCCGGGGCGTCCTGGATATTCTCTGGATCATTGTGCTCCAAGTCTCGATCGATAGTGTCCGTCTTCTTTCTACTCTCTTGTAAGACTTGTATGCCGTATTCGACCAATTGTTGCAGCTTCGCAATGGGTACTGTGGCGAGAGTCTCATCCTGACTCTGTGACGGATTTTTGGACTTGTCTGTGTTGAAAGAGTGAAAGTGTGGTGTACTGAGATTCCCAAGTGATGGGCCTTCAGGTTGTTCAACTGATTAATAGGAACGTTAGCACATCTCTGCAACGTAGACTTCTCGGTGCAAATGAAGTACTTCCCTGGTTTTGAGAGTGGCTCTGATACACCGGACCTTTCAGCAACTACTTCCAGTCTCTCATCTTCTTTTGTTGTAGCATTTTTACCAGAGTCTCGAAACTCATCCACAGTCGCTGGCACCTCTCGACACAATTCTGACTGCTCATTTCCTGCCGAAGGAATATGAAAACTGATATTTCGATACGGAGTTTTACTCGAATCTTGAGACGGGTGTGACCCCATACTCTCATGAAACGTGCTTGCCATTTCGACACGAGGCTTGTTGATCGTTTGCACTACCTCCTTTCTTGAATGAAAACACTCCCATTCTTCACCTCGTTCCTTAACTCAATCGTTCCTAATTCGAAATTTTCCATTGTCCTGTAAAACGAGAAAGAGAAATGTATCAAGAACGGAGAAAATATTTGATTTACCGTCCTTTATGAGGCTAGGGAGAGAGATTGACTCACTGTTCTTTATGAGGCTGTAAATAAGTTTCCCGATATGCAGTGCAACCAAATTCTCGCAAACGCGGTCGGCCATTTGCATGATGCATAAGTCATGTGAATCGCCAATGTATTAAATCCACTGATCCGACTTCTTACTACTATTTCCTCTGCACTCTCTGAAATGGCAAGACCGTATCGTCAATGAGAGAAAGATTTGGAGAAGGCCAGGTCATGGCTTTGATGGTGAGCCTGTGTCCCGCTAAGACTCGAGACAATGAAGTACGACACCAATGACAATAACAACGACAATAATAGCAACAAAGAAAATAATGATAAACTCGGATTTTCAGCCTGATATTCTTTGATGTAATTAAAATTTAGATATATTGAAAGGTTGTGAGAAAATGGAAGAGTCGAGAATCCTTAAGTGATGGTCACCTGCTTCATGATATACGGTAATAAGCATCTTCGAATTATTACAATAACAAATGATTGGGTCTTTTAATTTCCATAGCTTCATGCATATCTGACCTCAGAAAAGGTATAACACGGTCAGAGAACCTTCCTACCGCAGCATCACATCACAGCATCATGATTACACAAAACTATCACTGTTGTCAATTTCATCCCAGTTTACAACAAAGACTTTCATTAACGGGGTAACATTGGGATGCATAAGTCATACTCAGTACGCATAGGTAGTATCATAATGAATAAGTCTTCAATCTGAAATTTTCAAGGCAAAAGAAAAGGTATCCACAACACTAATTTCGGGTAATAACGTCTGTAAATTCTTACACTATGATACTAACACGTCTTCGAGTTTATCAATACTCATATCTACTCCAAATCTACACGTCCTTCTGCTCACACACTGATCCATCACCTATCTTCTCTCCACCGCGTCTGCTGGCTGTCTAGAAATCGAGAGACCAACCACCTGAGAGCTTCTTACTGTCATCGTATTCATGTTCCTAGGAAACCAAGAACACTGGAGATTCCTTTTCCGCTGGAGAACTTGTTGCCGAGTTCTCCAGCGGAGCAAAATTTCGCAAGATGAGGTGCTCAATTCCGGCTTGAAAGAAACAATTTCCACCATTGCTGCTGGCTTCATAGAGCTAGCCGCAGCTACTCCAAAGCATTGTGATGGTAAGGTTCCAATGTTAGCTGTGGAGAAAAGAATCCCCCCCTTTCTTTCGTTGACGCGGTGCGCCATTTGAAGCCATGTATTTGTGTGTTGAAAGATCGAGGTAATTCTCTTGAGGTTTCTCGGAGAGCTTATCGGATCTCTAAGGCTTTTGGAGCCCTCTTAATGGGCCATGTTGTTGGTCTGCGAACCAGCGGTCCTAGCTCCTAAGAACAAGTGTCAGACTCACACCGGCGAGAAGATTTAATTGTAGTGTCGATGAGGCTTGACAACTAGTCCTTGTGAGTCCAGATTGTTCCTGCGTACTTGCCATTGTAGGCTTTCGTATAGTATCTCAGATCCTCGAGGTTGAAATTGGAGTGCAGGAAGAGGGGTGACGACTCATATCGGATATAAGTGGGCTTAACGACACCTCTACTAGCACCTCCACCTTACTCCTGCTTATTATTAGCATATCACCATAAGTATGGTAAGATGAGACAGCGATGCAATAACTCACAGGTTTGAAAGCATATGCGAAAGGTTCAAGCAACGCTTAAGGCACACCCGGGGGCGGCTAGTGGAAAACAAAATTCATTCTTAGGAAATCTATAGATGCAATATTCAAATCGCCCTTTACGATCAGCCTCCCCCTTCCCGACCCCCAAAGATTCAAATTACATGATGCTCCATCCTTGGTGCTTACATGGCCCGCCCTCTCATGGGATTATTCAACAGAAGAAACTTAGTACCAACCCATTTGTATCCCCCGCACCATCTGACTCCCCAGATCCTCCACGTAGAAAGACTCTTCGGTGCCACGCTGCGTAACTCAACGATCTGCTTTCGTGCTTTCTGCTCTCTGTATTCTATGAGTGTCTTAGTGGGCACGACTGGTGCTTGTACCGTGGCCGTGTGGGGGGCATGTGGATTGGTGAAGTCCTCCTCCAGTGCTGTTGACGGCCTATCTTTTGTGTTAGCAACGGACATGAGAAAATGTTGTAGGACATGAGCTCCTGCACTTACAGAAACAGTGCACTATCATTTTAAGGGACAGTGTTCGTGATCGACAAAGTACAATGCTCCGTGAGCGATGTGCACCATGTCAATATCACGAACACCGTCCCTTCTCTGAAGCGATACTACGTGATGTAATGGTCTAGTAGACTAATTTAGTCGACTAGGCGGCCATCTGCCCTGACAGCAAGTGCAAGGTTGAACCCTTGAGATATTATCTCAAGTCGAGTAGTGAGACCGAGGGAACCATCGAGTGGCGTTGTTGGACCTCGCTTTGTCAATAGACCGAGGTCTTATGAGAGTCTCCGCTATATATTCACCATTTTTGGTCAGAGAATGAGGTGTGTGCAGCATATTGGAGGTATAACTTACGAGAGAGACCCTCAGCCTCCGTCTGAACTTGCAGCTGAACTTGAAAATTGTCCAATTCTATCACCTGGCGCGATCAAATACTCGAACAGGTCTCCGTTCGAGGAGCTCCCTCTTCGATTTCCATTCGATGAACGAAAGTTTCGATGCAAAACTTTGGATTGTTTGGAAATCGAAATGGGAGCTCCTCAAACAGAGATCTGTTCAAGTGTCTGATAAAATGGTCAATTTTCAAGTCACCAGCTGGAACAATGGCTCCGTAGTGAGCGCAACTAAGAAAAGAGCACCAAAGGTTAGCATGGAACTCCTGGAAAAGATAATGAAGGTTGTAGGATTATGTGCTTACTTACGAAGGCGCTGGAGACAAAGAATAGCTGACCTGGGTGATGTCAGATGACGAATCAATCTCGAATACAGCACCGACTTTGATCACTGTGTCATGGTTTGGGGGTGGGGTACCATTCTTACTTTTGGAGACAAACCGTCTGAAGAGGGTTGTACAGACAATTGGATAGACGGGATTCGTCGACAGAGAGGGATTGAACAAATTATTGGATAAATGTTCTCACTGTCAACGAATCCCGTCTATCAATTGCTTGGTGTGAAGGATCTACCCAAGGGACTCAACGGGAAAGGGATCCTTTTTGTGCCTTGGCACTGGCTGGTTTGTGCAACTTCTTTTTCTTGAGCCTTAATTTCGCCTTCAAAAGATCCCTTTCCTTGATTTTGTTATTGAGTCCCTTGGGTAGTAGGTAAGCAAAGCTGGGTCGAGATTGGAATTGACTTTGCGTGCTGCTCTGAAGGCAGCCCGCAAGTGCCGATCTAGACACTTCTTGCGAGCTGCCTTCTGTTCGCGTGTTGGATTTGAGGAGTCGCCATGAGAGGCGCTCCGATTCTATCAATTATTGTTAGAAAAACCAGACGTCTTAGATCGAACGGTTGCAGTAAGAAATTGAATGTGATGAGGATAATCAGTGGGATGATGCTTACTTTGATTGATTTAAAGAAGGCCGACAAGCATCTGTCTTGGAGCTGGTTCTTAGTGCTCCGTTGCTTAAAGCATTGCTGCTAGAGCAAGTTCTTTCACATGAAGGGTAAGAGGTTGGAGAGGAGATATTGAAGTTTTGGGGTTGTGGAATTGAAATTGAAAAGACCAGACTTGATAAGGGCGATAAAACTGAAATTAGAGGTGAGTCACACTAATTTCGCTTAATAGGGCTAGTCTACAAAATCAGGTTTGTGGGGGGCTTGTGGCCGGAGAAACAAGGTGGTCTATTGGGCAACCAGCTTGCTTATCCGAAATAAGTTTACCTTCAAATTTCCTTTTGTCTTCTACACACCAAAATTCAAAATTGTTAAATCTGAGACTTTCTTTCTTTGGCATTCACTTATCTTGATATGGAAACAAAAAAGGCTGGTAAGTCTCCCTTATTGATACACAACTTGTATTTTGCAGAGTGGAAAGTTGATTTTCTTGAAGCAAACTAAAGCTCATTCTTAGTCTAATCGTCGCTCTTTACAACTCTTTACATCAGATCGTAACGAAACCTCAGAATCCCTAAAGCTCCATTATTGAGACATCGAGTTTCTCAAACTCGAGAATATCTGCACCACCACTGTTCAATCAGTGCGTGTCATCCTTGAAGCCATGGAGTCACTGGAGTTGCCTTTGGATGAACAAAGAGCTGAATACCATGTTCATTTCCAGAGTTCGTCATCCAAAGACAACTCCAGTGACTCCATGGTTTCAACAAAATGCAGCAGCATCGATCGCGCGATGAAAGAGAATCATTCAAGGAAATCATCTTTAGCAACACATTGCGTCTTGCGCGACTGGGATTTTCAAGTGAGTAGCCTCTTGATTTTTCATACCCGTATCAGAAGTTTGCGATAATTGAAGACGCGACATCAAGTTCATTTTTGGTTGATACTCTTAGGAATGAGTTTAAAGCTAATAATTGACATAGATCGTCCCTCGATTCTCGATCTGATCGAAGCCAACTTGGCTTCGCCAAGGCTCCCAACATTCCAACAGCTGCATCTTCATCTTCGTCTTTCCGTTCCAACTGCAGGATACTTCATGAATAATCCGTGCTCCGTTCATCGGAACTGCGATCGATGGAATCTGAACCGTCGATACGGCCCGGGAGCCTGCCCCAGAATCAGAGTAAGTTCCCCATCTCCATATTCTTTTTTGTGTACCATGCCGGTACTAACAATTCACCAGTACTTGATCTGTTCCGGGCCGGCATGGCCAGCCAATCCCAATTGCCAAATGTGGGTTGCCAATTTTCTATGGCAGCCGATCTTCCATTGGTACTCGGCCCAGATATCCATAATTCAGGTTCACAAACCTCTCTAGAAAACCACTATAGGTGGCTCTCGACAGATCAATGAAGTGATGACTGGCAGGTACGTCGGCAGACAAAACAAGTATAGAAGATGAAGTCTAATAAATTATCAGTCCAGATGTTCGTGAGGAGCAGAGATGGGGGAGCTGAAGCGCAGAGATGGATAATGTCGATATGGTCTTGGGACAATTGTATTTTTATGTATATAGTGACTACGGACAGCAATGCAAATAGATTTATCACAGCCGCTTTACGTGTCGCTCATATCTCGATGGCCTGCTGAAATATGTGCTACAAGCGGAAGGAGATCCGTTGAGTTTCATAGTTTCCGCTGGTGAATTTGGGTATATGAAAGTCAGTAGTACCCTCATTCGCACCACTCCTCTTTCCAAAAAGATGACATACTGATTTTACCATTGTAGATCACCTAAGAATACAATAGAAGACCCAGCGAAACAACCTCAACAAGCCGAAAATATCCAGCTCATTTCTCAACCTTCTTTCGCAGACGCTTCAGATCATGCATTTGGTACATGCGATATATTTAAGTTTGACAGAGCAGGATCCGAGCCATAGAGTCGCAGACGCTGCTATCACTGAAAAATGCCGAATAAACCATACAACTCACTGGTGTATATCGACCACTTTCTTCCAAAGCCTGTGAGGTAGCAGCTTCGGCGAGAAATTCCAACCAGCATCTGGCGTTGCGGATCGTGTTTCCAGCACAATTAGTGAGATCTCTGGCCTGCCTGCTGACAACAATATATTCTCTAGATCTCAATGCGAAGTTGCTAATTAATATGCGATAGATCAAGTCGTTGCCGGAGCTCTTCATGCTGATCAAGACAACCCTGGAGAATCTCAGATGTAGCTTTATATGTCCTTTATTGGAAGGCAGAGCCCAGGTAAGACTCACACTGCAGATCAAAATCAGAATTGATATAAATACGCACTAACAATATACTAGGAACTCGCCATCTACGGCTCTCGGCTATGTTGTTCAACTTCATACCTTGACAGTGATGTCTGCGACCTGCAGAAAATAATTTGATAATGGAGAAGTTACAATTCACCAAGCACATCATACCATCAGGCGCCATGCGCCGGCTTGGGCGACTTGCTGGGAGTTGGAAGTGATCGATGATAATATTGCGTGTACTGGTGATCTCGAGAATAAGAACGCCTTAGATGGGGTAAGATGATTTCATCTGTAGGCCAGCTCATTCTTACACCTCATCTCAGCTCTATCACAGCCGTTCTATTTTTGTTCTCAGGATCTACGAAGAAGTAATTATCTCTGGCGGTTATTTCATGTCGATAATACCACTTGCTGTCATCTGCATTGCAGTCAATTTACTCCATGATCCGGCAAACCGTATCGGCAATGAGAAAGCGAGACTACAATCAAGCAAGAGGATATCTGGAATGAAATGGTTATTTCAAGTCAAGATGGTATTCGAAGATTTGCCAATTACTATCATGCGCCATACGAACAGACTATGATGGCCACCATTAGGGATTTTTGAGAAGCCAAATTATCGACTATAATAACTGCTTCAATCATAAAAGGGACTTCGTTCATCAAGGTGCAGTCAAGAGTACCGTCCGCCTGTTTCGAAGAGAATACATTGGCATCGATAGCCGTTACAAATCAAAGTACGATGCAGCGTACGACTTCGGTCGAATTGACATGAATCTTCCGAGCGTTGATTTAAGAAGAAGGGTGAGTTATCATCCAGCACGCATGTGGCATTCCCGCAGACTAGCAAGTGATGAAATGCACCCTTAAAAGCACGGAGTTAGTGTGCAATAAAATGAGTGAATACGAAAGCTCAAGGACCAAGCAATGAAACGAGTTCACCTCCGATATGTGCTGCAACTCAGTCCCTTCCGCATCACCAGGTAACTACCGGTAGCTTTGTACCGCGTAAGGAAGCTTGGAAATTTAGAGATGCAGATATTCCACCATGAAAGCTGTATCTGAGCTCAAGATGTGACTTCTTTAGGGGTCAAAAAGGCATATTAAGTACCAGAATAATAGGAGAAGGAACGTGGGCGCGTTCAAAGGGAGAGCTTTTTAGATTGATACGATACTTCAGCTTGAATAGAGTCACCGATATTGACGATGGTTTAATAATAAGTGTTGATGGCGTCTATCTTATTCACTAAATGATATGTTCATATTTGGTTCGATAGCACTTTCACTCCTGAAAGCAGAATATGACAAATACTTTCAAGTACTTTAGAGCAACTAGACAGAGTAACATACAATACAACTACAATACACAAAGTCACAAACTGATTTTGAACCCAGGTACAAAAGAACCGTGATAAGAGATTACAAAGCATAAAACACGGAAACGAGAGAATTCAATCAATAAAACATGAAGTCCCACTCGATGCTTCTTATCGCCCTCTTCATCCGAGGTGGAACGGGATCCGAGCCACGACTTTGCAAACAATACCAAGATACACACATTGGACGAAATTACGTGACATGTCCGAATACCACTGAACGGTACGAAAATGGCATACTCGTAGCCAAGTCACAAGAGTGTATGGCGACAGCAAGTATAGCTGTAATGATTATTGAGTTCGATACAGATAGAAAGAACAGGGTGGTTGATGTTTGTGTTCTGGCAGCTAAAATAGGTGAGTCGAGTCGTGCCTGATTAGTCATCCAGGTTATGAGAGGGGCTCATCGCTTAACGCTTGGCCCGACTCTAGTCAGATCTTCCGTTAGCATATCACCCTCCATATACATTTGTCGCTCTGCCGCTCTCCCGCTCTCATTCTTACGATATGGATAGCATTTTCAAAAACAATGGCGTATGTCAAGTAGAAGAACAACTTTTTGCCTAGCAGACACATCGCTCAATTAAATACGTACATTCCCATTTTCTGGCACCGGGCTGTCAACCTTTTAGAAGTGATTTTCGATTGTGGAGAACCAATTCGGGTAAACATAAATTCGTGATAAGTTGCTGTCCCTTGTGTTACTTAATACATACTTTTAATACATCTGAGAGATTGGTAAGGTTCCAGGTCCTCCAGATGTATCAATGCCTTTTACCAACCCTCAGAGCTGACTTGACGGCGGTCTCTATCTTTAGGCTGTCTAGTCAACTTTGACTTGAAATTTGGACAAAGGCCTAGGAGTACATATGATATAACTTTTTGCAAAACTTGAGAACAGTCAATTTTTTACCAGAACTTTCAGAAGTACAGAAAGCATGAGTTCCGACTCAAAGAAGGATTTTAGTCACAAAAAGAATTACCGTTAGTAGGAAATTGGCTGTCACGGAGGTGAACTTGTTATTTTTCCTCAATAGATTATAAAGGCACAATGACTCCGTAGCTAGATAACTATCATATGTCCTATACATACAACCATCAACTAGCAGACTGTGTTTTGTCCAGCAATGAAACAATGGCGCATGGGTAATGAGATTGATATTCGTAAATAGTTGGGAAGTCCTAATCACTGTCCCTTCCATGCTTAAAATCGGCAATGAGAACAAAAAAATGACGATGCAAGACAATTTTACTAAATTGATAGCGACGGCTGTCTAATGCTATGAATGCTACACTCTGTTCTTAATCTTCCTCCAAGATTGTCCTTTAAGACTTGACTTTTCGGAAATATTGGTCTAGTTTAGCAAGTCAAAATACATTACTCTGTTTGTTTGAGTTGTTTCGTTTTGGTTTGTTTCAGTGCCCATCTTCTCAATATAAATGTACATCTTTTATACTTCAAATTTTCCCGAATTGAGGTAGTGAGTGCTTGACATCCAATTACAGATACAGCCACCAATCTCTCCGAACTATCTTACATGAGTATATACTTTCATCGCACCATTAGAAAACAGTGGAAGAATTTTCTGCTTTGACAGATAAGTTTGCAACGGAATTAGCTCTGTGTAAGTAATTACAATTATTTCAAGAGACTCGGTAGGTTCTTAGATAGGCCCTACTACGATCATGGTCTTGAAAATCAATAATTATCAAGACTAATGACAGTAATGATCATTCCTATCTGAATGAGAGTGAGAGTAAAAAGATTTTAAAGCTTGATATACTCTAGAACTCTGTATTAGTTCAAACCAATTCTCATGAATCTTGTGGTAAAAGTCAAGTTTCATTTCACATACACATATACAGCAGGCTTCGCCAGTTATTCCTCGGTTCTAGGTGGCAACTATTTCTTTAGCCATACACAGTCTTTGAATCAATCTCTCAAGACATTCTTATATGTGAGTTGCGAGGATCTGAATCTCCATTTTGAGACAATTGTCTGGTGCAGATATAACCCAATTATCAGGGGAAGTATAAAGACTCTATCTTAGCCTTTATTATCGAAGGCATTGGCGTACTCGACAAATTTCAAATCGGAAAATGGCCTTCGACTGTTTCATATGGACAGTAGACTGTAGTGCTGGATCACACTCTGGATATTTCGTAACACCATTTTTAAGGGACTTTGTTTGATTGGAATCATTGTCACATTTCATAGTAATTATGAATTAATTCAAAGACAACAGAAACTTCAACTTCGAGTTAGCTATCGACAGTAAATACTCTAGTTCACAGCACCAATGGCTCCAGACTGAAGTAAATGCAACTCCCTACTTCCCCCAGATTGCCATATGATATATGATAGGATACAGAAGGTGAACACAATCCGCTCATTATCTCGTCTTCTTCATTGTTCCTAGTCTTAGTCGATATCTTTCTCTCTTCGAATCCTTGCAAAGTTTGTACATCTCCAGATCCATGATAATTATGCTTACTAAACTAGTCCTCTTTGTGAGATCAATGTACTTTATTCAATCTATCATAATATGACGTGCCGCCCGCCCCTCTACCTGAAGTCTATGCTTCTCACTAACGGATTGAAGGACATTGACTTTCTGCATACGCATCTTTACAGAAGTCGAATCCATAAAAGAAAAAACAATTCCAGTAACAAACATACAGTCGTTCGGATAGACATCCCAGACGTCAACAAGAGTTCTTATAAGAAACAAGTACGATGACTAACCACAGCTTAAGAAGCTAAACCACGAGACCAGAGCAACAAGACAAGAGACAGCTTGCCATAAATTGCCAAGATTGGAAGAATGGGAGGAATTGGGGTAAGTGGAAGGAGCTCAAGAAGGCCATCAACAAAAGAGACAAGATGAGGGCGGCAGTACGGAGGCCAGAGTTCAAGTTTTCCGGAACTCAACGAGCCTCATTCCTCTAAATCTTAGAAAGAGAATCCTTAGGATCTCTTTTCCTCTTCTCTTCATAGTTAACTGATTTAACTATTCGATCTCCGATAAATTCACTCCCTGACAGTGAGATGAAGTAACTGAGCTTCTAAATCCTCACCCCGTCAAGGTTCTCCATCGCTGTTACTAACCTTACTTATTGCCAAAATATCAGAGGGGCTTTTGTTTGTCGATTCGCTATAAAAGCTGGTATTATTGTTCACCAACACATCTCGATAACACAATTTCGCTATCTACATAGGTATAGCTACCAATGCAAGACTATAATACCAATAATGCTTAGATTCTGCGGAATAGGTACCGAGTAGTCACAATTAAACCCAAGGCGAGATCCTTCTGTTTCTTTCTCTTCCAAGGAATCATAGAGATCTATGATGTCTAAAGGTCAAGAATCTTATATCTTAGGAATTTGGAAGAAACGCATTCTGGAGGTGGGTGGATCAATGGTCAGTGTTAAGTGAATCGACGGATTTTAGTCAGAGATATACGATTCACCTTAAATGCAACTCGAATATCGATTTTAATCCACCTCTCCTATTATGTGTGATACAATAGGACGAATTTTAATACATAAATACTTATCTTTGTCTGACCATTCGCTGGCTAAATGAGAACCGAACAAGTTCCAAACATTGGTGTCAAGGCAGACTCTGCTGTACGAGTATATTCAGCACAACTTCCTTCGAGCTAACCATACATTTCGCATCCTACAGTCGTTCCAAAAGCTAAAACCGGTAACTGTTTTTTATCCATCCTATCTTTTTTGTTCGCTGTCCTTGTATCAAAGTTTCGGACAATAATCGTATTGCTTATAGGAGTTCGCGCATACCGCTTTCATTATCGTTTACGCATATTTATTATATTCTTTGATCGGCAAATCTGGAGAGAAACTAGCAATCATACATAGTATTGAAACGTATAGTCATCTAGGCCAAGGAGAAGACTGTGGTAAATGAAGCGGGGTAAAGATCATATTAATTAGTTGATCATTACCAGGATATGCGTGATATGCAACAGATAGATCTTGATAACATGAGTCCTATCTTGTGCTACTGTAGATGCAAATACCTCAACAGCTACCCATTGCTATCGTAGAGTAAATTTTACTGTTGGTAATAGAATACATATATTACCACGGTGAAAATTATATCACAAAGTGTAGCTGAGTTTTCAATAGTCCAAACTGCATGTAGTCCAGGCTCGAATCATATGAAAGCTTTCAAAACTTAGATATAATAATCACTTTTATTCGATAAAAACCGCAGGGTTGGTGGTATCCACATTTGCTATCACAGAGCTATGCGAGTATATCGTTACTGAGCATCAAATTCAAGTTCCCACTACCAAAATTCAAATTTCGTCGTCACCAAAGTATTTGTAATTTCTCCACGTTGAGTGAGGATATCATCTCCATGATCCTCCATATCTCAAGTGTTTGTCCCAATAGACGTGCCGCCACTGGCTCCGCGACTTGACACATCGTGACCTTGGGCTACCCATATTTTTTGACGTTGTGCTCCAAGATATATAATTGGAACGAACAAGAAGAACAATGTCGATTGGGAACCATATATTTATAGACGGCCTGGTATGTCGTATGTGCTCCTTCCGCGAGTGATGAGTCATCTGGACTGTTTCATATAAAGCGAAATAACCGGTCTAAATAAATACAATGATTCTTATCTCACAAGTCAGGAAAGACTTATTATTAGAAAATATATCTTGGATAATATACCCGACCCTCGAGCACCCATATTCTGCATGATGCATAACATATCTCATCCTAATAGCTTATGTCTATAAGTCAAGTATCTAGATTGAGATTGTGATACAAACCTATATGACATACATTCAGCTAAACACACGAGTCTCCTCTCGTGAAACTAAAATAAACAAACCATAGAAAGTCCACCAGAGCTCATAGAAACCTCCATTAGAAACCTCAATCTGAAACAAACAAATGAAAAGTATCCACCTAGACTTATCAGAGTTACGTATGAAATCTGTGAACCGAAAAGAGCAACGTATGTGATTTGCCTGAACCTGTATAATTATCTAGAGTAACACACAAACTGTGCTGATGAATCCATATGATATTCGCCCGCATCCATGAGATTCCAAGGCAGAATACTCAAACTAGAATGAGTAAATCAAGTGATATGCACCTAGACTCACCAAAATCTCTAGTAAAGTATTCAAACTAAGAGAAGCAAACCATACAATATAGACCAAACCTCATCAGAATTTTGCACAGGACTGTTTAAATCGATGTACGCAAGCCTAGGCTCCTATCATTTACATATCAGTCAAGATCTCATATATTATGACTTGGACAATACAACGATCATATCACATCCCTAGCACTACGCCTTCAATAGAAAACCACTTCTCACGCAGACCGCACATAGCATTCACATATGAGACACAAGTATCTAGACGAAGTTTATCATTGAGTATAGCTCAAACCCGACTCTGCGGTAAACTAAATCTCCTCTCAATGCACTATGCATTCTCCTCCTCGAAGATCGACCATGTCAATGAACAGAAACCCCAACTAAACGCAAACCCCTCAATCCTCAAGTAAAGAAAGAAAACAAACCCTATTGTAGCTACACCTATGAATCCTATGCAACAGCAACATCATGACTGGAGCCCGAAAATCCATGACATCAAGCCTAACAACCATATTATCAGGATTCTAGCTGCGTTTCGCTTCCAACATTGTAAAACCACCAGTTCGCAGAAGCGCGTAATTGATCCTACAAAGAGTGCTTCCAACAACCCGCTACCTACAGCTGCAGCTACAGATACAGCTCACGAGTACTATACCAACAACACATCCAAGTTCCACCCAGATCTCCAAACTACAACAACTTATATCCCGCCGGACGAACCATACCAGCCATGCCGGGATTGGCAACTCTACAAATAGCGAATTGGATCTTGGGCAAGATGGGTATCTTGACCTCCCACGTATCTTCCAATCTCTGTGGCCAATGTCCTCTGGGAAATGCGATCTTGTGCGCCATTCTAGCTGCGTACTTTTGTTGGAGGAGAGGACTCTTAGCTGTCATGGTCAAGAGCAAATGTTCGGTGCGAGGAAGCTTTATCTGGGTTTCCGGTGTTGAAAGCGCAGCTACAAGCCCGGCAAGTGTATCTGGCTGCATATGTTTCGTGTAATGAACCCAGTGACGGTAACGCTGCATGTCCCAGTAGCGATACGCGGTCTTGATTGCTCTCTCCATGTTACGCATCGCTTGGCATCCTTCGTAGTCGTTTAGATGCTTTTTTTCGATCGTGCCCCAGCTGAAATCTAGGTGGAACGAATTAGTAATGCTTGACTTAGGAGACAGAGGAAATATACCTTTAATTCCAATAAGACTGTTAGTACGATAGTAAATTGTGACCTCCTTGATGTGGAACGGGTGCGAATAGCCAATAGTTCTACTTGATGGTGATAGAGCGGTGGAAGGTACAACTGCTGCCCAAGCTCTGGCTACTTCAATCTCACGACGTTGGCGTCTTTCGCGAGCTATGAAGGGATCCGTAGTTGGCATGAAGAGACCCGCCGGTGGAATAACAGGTTGATTTGGGTCTAAGTCATAGAGAAAAGCATTGAGCGCGATACGTCCCTCTAGCTGATGTTCATGTTCGATCCAAAAATTATCGTGCGCATTAGAGAGGTCGAACATCGGCATGATTCGATCCTTGCCATTGATATGGCGATAAATCGTTGATGCGCCAGTCTCCGAACCAGGCTCGTAGCTCATCTTGGAGCAAGTAGTACCATACAAGCTCTGTTGTGTATAGTATTTGAGACCAATTTGGCGAGCTTCTGAGTTAATGAAAAGCACATCGGGCTGTGGACACACCCACTTGAAGTTATATTGACTTTGTAGTCCATCCTTGAGAGGGAACCACTTGACAAGGCTTCCGTCAGGATTATAGATCTTGAATTTAAGAGTAGTAGACACATTGGCGTAAATATCAGTGTGCGACTTTCTAACACGCCAAACTGGTACATCTCGCGGTCCCATATTTTCTAAGTACTCTTTCCAAATCTTGAGACGAAGCTCTACTGGAAAATCAGCAAATTGCGGAAAGTCTGAATCATTGCTGATTCTTGTTGTGGTCTGACAGTAGGGTTCGACATCTGCTTTGATTAGACCGGCGAGATTGCTACTCTTCTTCATCCGGCGCAGACCGAGACTTTGATGGAGGTGTGGCATCCGCACAAGATTAGATCGGGAGACAAAACGCTGAACTCTGGAGCCCTGTATATTAGCAGCCTGCGGAGTAGCGCGATCGTGAGTAGAAGAAGATTGTTTGTGAACAGGTTGATTATGGTGGATGGTACAGCGGCAGTGGATATCGTGATGGCAATTGGGCTCAGCCACACAATGATGTTCGATCTCGTCTCCCTTTCTCTTCTCGCTGGTAGCGAGGCTGCCATCTTGGACTCCTTTGCCCGTCATTTTGCGAAAATGTGGTAGTCTGCGGATTTGAGAAATGGAGTTGGAGGTAAAATTGGTGGTTGGAACTGAGAAATAAAGTTGGGCGCAAGAATTAGTGGATGCGATTCGAGAAACGAAGTTGGAGGCAAGAATTGGTGGATGGATTTTGAGAGATATGGTCAGAGACAAGAAGTGGTGGTTGAAGTTGGAGAAAATAATTTTTGTAGAAACTAGAATTTGTGGACAAAAAGATTTTTTTAATCCCCACAACACAAAAGTCCCCCGGGTATTTGATGGCCTCGTGAGGCAGCTGCAACAAGCAGTGATGAGGATCGGGTCCAAGTCATAGATCCCAAGTTGTTATTTTCACATGAAATGTCTTCTTACAAACTATTCGAGTCGTTGAAGCAGATTGTTTTTCTATCTCTTTCCAGTATTGCCTTCGGTTAATCTCTCCTATTTCAGGCCTGAACTGGACAACATTCTTTTTGCTGCACCTTGATTGTTCAAAGGCCTGTTACAAACTTTGCCTTTCATGGTCCAAGTGTGATTTGTAGATTTCCAGTAGCCGTAGCTTGGATTAACTCAAATCAACTTGTCAGAGTTGGTTGATGCTAACACTTTAGGCAATCAGATAGTAGCAACAAGTGGAAGTGATTCGCTCTTAATGCCATCTTTAACCCTTTGTATTCTCCTGGTAGAGTGAAGAAGATCAAACTTCATGGGCCTTAAGTAAATTCTGAAGTATAACAAACTTCAGAATGATAGTTTCAGCACTTCCAATGATTGAAACCAGGTAATTCCAGATTGAGACTGGAGGAAAGTTGTCTTTAGAACCCTCCAAGTTTAATTTGCGTGGATTTGGTCAGTGGCCCCAATTGGTTCAATTTGTGCATCTGACTGAGGCCATCAAAGTGGTGGACTTTTGACAATTAGTGTTAGTCCTTTTGGTTGGACCCAGGTTTGCACGGGCCACATTAGTCTTTTTGCCGAACCTAGCTTTATGGACCATGAAGTCTGCCATCCTAGGTAGACGATTCTTGGCTAAATGAAGATTATAGAAATTATCATAACCCTAGTTTGCATCAAAGCAAGCATTGATAATTGAGGATATCACTCCAGTTTGATCCAAGCTAGGAATTCCAAGAACCATCTTGTGTTAGCAAAAAGGTGATTGTTCTTATGATGGAGAAGTCGCCACAATAAAACTGGACAGTTCAGGTTGAGGTCCTCTCACACCAGATTGACAAATGAGACAAGCAAGAAATCTGAAGAGCTTTCCTTCATGACTCAAAGAGAGTAAAGTGTGGTGGTTATAACTCTTCCAGATTAAAAGTAAGACATCTCAATTGGAGGTTCTCTCAAATCGGTTTGTTGAAAGAAAAGGGCAAGAAATTCGGTGGATTTATTGTGTGAGAAGTGTTTGGATGTGGGTTCAAGGTTCTCGAATAATTTTGTAAGTTATTCGTACAGCTTGGCCACAAACATCGATGGAAAAAAAAGTCTTGACCTTTCTCCTCTTCTGAATCAAAAGCCTTGAGGGCAATACGACAATACCGGTAGTATCTCGTCGGAAACACATCCATCGGTCTCTGGTATAGAGAATAAAAATGATATCTTACTGCCAATATCTCAACAAGATCACCCATTACCCACCAATGTTCGATTAATCATGGGGCTTCTCTTTCAAACGATACGGAATCTGCGGCATCGAAGACATACCTGGCTTCCATCCAAAACGCAACATTTGTCGATGATGGTGACTTGAAGGGGTCTGGGAATGCTAAGACCGAGGAGCTCATTGTGAACCCGCCGAAATGGTAAGTAAAGAGAAAAGCGACGGGGGCAGATTATGCACGTTGGTAGCAAGAGGCGATGGTGCCGATAGCTAGATTGCCTTCGCCAATACCCATGTGGAGCTCCAGTACTAGCATGCCAATTGATACCCTTGACATTAAAAAGGAAAGAAGCCCAAGCGAGATCATGGTATCATCCATAACGCGCCCGGAGATCGTAAGTACTTGCCATCGGAGATCTGGTATGCGATTTGGAAACTTATCACGAACGACAACGCAAGAAACTTTCCTTCTGGGTCTGGAGCGTTGGGAGAGAATATTTTGGGATATTCCTCATGATCAAGTGACCGGCGATCCTTGGGAACCTGGAGATACAGACCGGTGTGGAAACCTTTGGATTTATGACAACACAGATTGTTTCTTCAATCTTGCTTATCAACATTCGATCGCGAGACATTGCTCTTGAAGGTTATGAATTTAGCTTTGGTACCAACAGACCGACGCGTGTCGGAGCATACAAGATCAAGCCTCATCTTTATCGCCACATTCATAACGAATGTACACGTCCAATGGGTCGATTCGATTATAATAGCGTTGATTGCTTTGAGAGAGCCTTACCGAATAATAACTGCAATTGCCCTAAACCTGTGCTGACTTCCACGTCGTGACAAAGGAATCGAGGAGGATGGAAATTAGATCACTCGCGACGAGTATGGAAACGAAGATTGGCGAGGCAACGGCCGAATCCTCAACCATTTCGGAAAATGATACACCCCCGTGACCTTGTTGAGAAAACTCTCAAGAAGGGTATCAAAGACCCACCTTTATGATTTCACCAACTATTTCTGCAAGCGAAGTCCTAGAGACTTCCGATTCACAACACATGTAGAAATTCCCGATCACATAATCAACTAACTGTGTTCGCGAAGCCCAGGGAAACCATTTGTACTACGAAGTTTAATTCACAGAACCGCGTCTCCTCTGCGGCAAGCGTCGGTGACGTTAACTTGTACACCGAAATATGCATACTTGCGTGAGAAGATGGCTCAAGTTTGGGGATTGAATTAATTCAAATAGGAGGACCAAAACCTTTCAGAAATAGGATCAACCATATCGACTCCACAAAATATAGTCGGAAAAGAAACGCGTTATTTTAGACGCTGTCGCCCCAGGAAGAAGAGCAATTTGTAAATAGTGGTGATCCTGCTACCGAGGCCGCCAATGGACCGTGAGTAACACTTGCTTTAATCTAGTAGGATAGATCAATGAGAATTAGCCCGGATAGTAGAGGGTCGTTTTTGGTCCGGGAATTCCTGCCATTCGCTTCATAAAGCTCAAGATTCATGGATAGGGTTGTTTGTGGCCAGTCTGTGTAACTCGACGTGTGAATGCAGCATGTGCATAGAGTGCGATGGGTGACGGATGTACCATATCGACTTGAGAAATGGTAAACTGTATTCCAAGTCAGAGGACTCCGTAATTCCACGTTGTGTATTTGGTAATCCAGGGTTAAGGTTGTGGTCTGTTTAATGGAGTGTAGAAGTTGTTTGTTCGGATGAAGTTCCTGATGGGACAGAAGATAGGAACCTGCATACAGATAGAGTGAGCTAGGCATATAGATAATGCCAGTATACCACACTGGCATCTCAATAAAGTCATCACAAAGTATGGTAAACCTTTCATCCGTAGATTTTTTGGTTGTGTGTGTTGAGTGAAGGTTGAGTAAAGGTTGAGTGAAGTTGAAGAAAGACCTCGGTGTTTGAGCGTTAAGCCTGATTTTGACTAGTGCGATGGCGCCTGCACTTATTCAGAGTCGGTGCACGGACTCCGACCTGTCGTCTTGATATCAAATCATGAAATGCATCTCCAAATCTCCAAATCTCCAATTAATGGAACTGTAAACTGCCAATTCTCGTTGGTTCAGGCGACTTCATATTCTGATCAACTCCGAGGCTATCAGATTAAGGAAAGGTTTACTTCTCTCACTCCGAACATGAAAGTAATGGCGAGCTCATAATTTAGTAGCTTCCTTTCTTGAAGTTGCGAGTTTGCACATCCTTGTGCGATTCATCTCTTCGACTATGGCAAATGTCGTATCTCCTAGTCCTGTGGAGAATAGCTCTCGATGCTCCACTTTCGCCTTGTTTCAAAACTCCCTAACGAGACCAAAAATGAGATCTGGACATTTAAGGTTATATGGAGGTTAGATTTCGGAAGTGTAAGGTTTGACGAGTTTGAGACGAATGCGTGGAAAGGGCACTCTAGCACATCCCCCGCCTTCAATTCCTTTTCGGTAAGAAGATCCAGGGAGATTGCGTTACGATACTTCAATTTGGTAAGGACGAGAGTTATTGGTCAAGCTTAGTAGTTAAGGGGGACCTTGTTACTCGTATCTATACAGTACCAATTGGACATCAGACCGTTTGTGCCTCGTGGGTGAGCTCGATCGGATTGATCTTCGCGCATCTTTGGGTAGTTCTGGCCGATCAGCACCCTACTGTCATAAGTCGTTATGAATGCACATAGCAGAGATGATTTGCCATCTCAATATGTTTTCCCGCATTGCTAATCTGAAGCTCCAAGGAAGATTGCTTCAAGAAAGTATTCGGCCATGGGCCAATGATTGACGCGATCCTGATAATTGGCCCGCTTAGTTACTCTGCCACAAGATCGCAGTGTTTGTTCCCCGCAATATCTCAGCCTTCGACGAGTCAAAAGCCTGGCGAGCTTTGCTGCTTTGAGCCATATCAAGGAATTTCTCGCAAGGAACAGATTCAATGGCTGTAGGCTCGGCGTTTGTGGTCGATACATTTGTAGTCATTGTCAATATCGTTGCAGTCGAAAACGATGACTTCTCCAGGCACTTTATGTGAGTTGTTCCGCAAGTGCCGGTGTTAAAAATGGCAAGATCTGCAAGCATTGAAAGCGACGAAAAGCTAGGTGTACTTTGTACTTTCATTGTAAGTTCTAAGCATAGGTCACGAATCGTTGCTGAGACCCAACAGATGTGCTAACCACTCGAATTAGAGACGATGAAAGAGAAATATAATATATCTTATCCCATGGCTTTGCACGCCTCATTGGTTTCGTTCGTCACGTTTTCTCTGGGTCTGGGATCGGGAAACTTAATGCGACCCGCTTGTGTGCATTCCCCACGAACCCGACACAACTTCTTTTGAACCATAAGCAGATCGATTTGGAATCTACCAATTGAAGGTGAATTCATCAATAACAATTCGCCAACCTCTAAGCATTCTATTTTGGTGTGAGAAGATCTTCGTTTTCTTTTCTCGGGGGCATGGTCTATTATAGAAAACTACCGGTAACACTGCAGACGGATGTTCAAGTCTACAAGAAGGTTGTTTTCGTCATTGACCGGACTTGTTGGGTTTTATAGCCATGTTGTAGTGAGCATATCAGGTGGAAATTTGCTAAGATTGAATCTTCAAACATTTGCTATAATACCCGGTTGGTTCATTAAAATCGGATATTGCAGATGCTTTCGATTCCGACAGTCCTTCATGGATCTTCTGTTCTTGATTGTTTGGTATCGGCACCTGATGATGCTAAGTACTAACGGATGATGTTTTCTGGAAGTATAGTTTACCGTCAAGGGGAACCTCCTATGCAGTAATGCCTGCCACACCCGTTGCCAAGTGTCAACCATAAACAATCCACGACTACATTAATGTGCCTTGTTTCGTTTTCCATATTACTATGAATTGAATTAAACTTTATGATTGGGTGATTAATGCTTTTAAAGTTATGCACCCCATAAAATACCCCTGAAATTCTCCCCCGGTACAGAGCATCTAGCCAAATTTGGCGCAATGAAACACACTTTTTCGCTTATCGAGGACCCATTCCTCCCCCTCACCTCATCTTAATTCATTTATTCTTCATTTACTTCATTCATCTATTTGGAAAGCCGGCGTTACATCCATGCCCAATTTTGGATTCATTATGGCCATCTGCTTACATGATGCCATTCTCATATATATCTCTACGAGTCCTTCCAAATTCTTAACTTCTCTCGGCCACCAAATTTCTATCATTCTTTTGTACAGTCATTATTTTTTTAACCCTCACATTCTTTTCAGAACATTACCATCAAAATGAAGTTTACGCAAGTCGCACTTCCACTTCTTTTCTCTGGTGCAGCTATTGCTGCACCAGCTGTCTCCAAGACATTGAAGGCAAGATCTACTCAGATTTGTGGTCAATACGACAGTGTTGCCACTGGAGCTTACACCGTCTACCAAGATCTTTGGGGTAAAGATGCTGCATCATCTGGATCCCAATGTTCGACTGTTGAGTCTCTGAGTGGTACTACCATAGCCTGGTCTACCTCGTGGAGCTGGGCAGGTGCCTCAAGCAGTGTCAAGTCATACGCAAATGTTGCCCTTGACTCAGTTGCTAAGACTGGTGTTCAAGTCTCTTCCATTGCTAGCATCCCAGCTATCTGGAAGTGGGGGTAAGAAATGTTCCACTCCAGTTCAACCGTCAATTCTAATATCCTGCTAGATACACCGGATCTTCCATCGTCGCCGATGTTTCCTGGGATGTTTTCACTGCTGCTACTTCCGGCGGAACCAACGAATACGAAATCATGATCTGGTTGGCTGCCATTGGAGGTGCTGGACCAATCTCATCCACTGGTTCTGCCATTGCCACTGCCACCATTGCTGGTCACGAATTCAAATTGTACTCTGGACCAAATGGAGACACCACTGTCTACTCTTTCGTTGCCACCTCCGAGGCCACCAACTTTGATGGAGACCTTTTGGACTTCTTAACCTACTTGTCCACCAACGAAGGATGGTCCACCAGCCAATACATTAACGTTTTGGAAGCTGGAACTGAGCCTTTCACTGGTAAGTAACCTATCATACCGCGTTAGATTAAACGTACTAATAAACCTCTCCAGGAACCGATGCAGTATTCAGCGTCTCCGCCTACAGTGTTGCAATCTCTCTGGGAAGTTCCTCCGCAGTCAAAGCAGTCTCCAGCACATCCACATCCTCAACTAAAGTAGCCCCAGCCTCAACATCCTCCGCACAAACACACACTAGCACTACTAAGGCAGCAGTCGCTGCCTCAGTTACCCCAACATCATCTGCAAAAGCACAAGTTAGCACTACCAAGGCTGCAGCAGTCTCAACCTCTACCACTTCCTCTTCCTCAATTGGTTCTGTTGCTTTGTACGGTAACTGCACTGGTGGATTGACTTGCTCTGCCGGTAGCTGTGTCGTGCAGAACGCATACTACTCTCAGTGTATTTCTGCATAAATCAACAGATTATCATTACATTGGCTAGTCGGCCATGATGAGGGCAAGGCTCAGATCACTGCCCACATTCAATTACCAAATACCATCTATCAATCAAAGGAGAGGGGGCGTTTATAAGTATTAAAGCTAATATTGGGGGTTACAGTAATTACGGCAATCATGTTCTTGGTTAAATCGAAGAACGGTCTTGCAGAGGCCATCCTAACTGAACCTTTCGACATGTCTACTTAAGTTGTAGAAGTACAGCCCGTTATATCAGAGGCAGATTTTGTATTTATATATTTATATATTTATATATTTATTTTCTTGTGTGGTGTGGAGGAGGATGAGGGTTGTTATATATTGAAAAGCATGAATATGTGTTTTCAAGTCCGTTGTCTACAGTCTTCTGTGATGTTTTTTGTGATTTTAAGGTTCATACTATACTTCTGTGAATACATTGAAGAGATGTGTTCCGGGCCATAGCTCAATATCCCCATTGTGAAATGCACTTAGCTCATTGCTAAATGAGCTAGGTTTCGGAGTGAGCTAGCTCATACGATTCATGAGGGCATTCCGAAATGAGCTAAGCTTATTCGCAAATACCTTAAGCGTCCACCCCACCATATATATATGAATTCCTTTCATATTTTCACTTTCTTCATTTTGTATATCGAAAAGATATTCTTAGTAAAGGAAAAGGGTATTGGAATAACTAATAATAATGAAAATGATAATATAATTGAGAATGAGAACGATAATAAAGTTGATAATGATTTTTTGCTTATTTGTAAAAGTAAATATTGATAAAGTGATACTATAATATATATAC